CCCCTCACAGATGCTGATAAAGGCTGCTGAACTACATGCTAAGGAAATGTGGGCCAACATGTAACCTGATTTGTACGCCACTGTTGGATAAAACCACACTGACAAGAAGAGAGAGGCAACTACCTCACTTCTTGAGCACATCTGGCATTTGTCAGAGCAAATGCATCCAATCAGCCAAACCACCGCCAGTGGCCTGAGTGTCCCAGCTGGGAACATTACATCGCACTGATGCACTGGCTTTGGCATTTCAATAACTTTATGAGCTACCCAGCATTTGTTATAGCTCCTAATAGTGTTCCAGCCTGGAGGCGGAAAGAGGCCAGGCTTTTATGGGACTTGCGCTGAACTGACAGGTGAATATTTGCTCAGTGAGGGACTGAGGTTGTTTTATTGTTTCATAATGTGGCCGCTGTGAAGGCCTGTATGCACACTTTCCTTCACAGGGCTTTTAAGCTTTTACCCTCTATTGATATCAGCTCAGATAAGCACTCCCTGCGCTCTGGCTATCTGTAAGCACGTACAACAGCGGCCAAATCATACTACATTACGGGTGTAACAATTCTGCCAATGGAAGGTTCGTGGAACGGTTCAGTTGTAGAACAATGAATAGATCTTGCTGGAGAACCCGATGACTCTTGTTGGGTTGGGTTGGGAACAGATGATGCACACAGCTTCGTCCTGTTGGCTGGCTTACCTTTATCATTGGGACTAACCCCAAAATACTCCCAAACAGGGCAGAGGCGTTTTACTTTTTTACTAGTTCTGTAGCATTATCCCACCGCTCGGACTTGCCATCAAGTCACTCATTTTGGTGAGCGTGGTGAGAGTGTGGTTGAGCGAGAGAGAGGGAGCGGCAGGTGAATGCAGAGGAGAAGTGGAAAAGAAGAAGTTTAGCAGTAAATGTGCAGTGTAGCTTACAGTTTGTCAGTGAATAAAGGCTACAGCTAACACTCCTGTATGTGTGCGTTGTTTACCGACTGCTGGAAGAGTGATGGGCGTTATTGCATTGTCGTGCTGAAGATGATGTCAGGCAATTTCACGCAGCGTCGCCCGCCTATGTTGAGGGCGTACACTATAATACTAGGGTGGGAATCTCTTGTCACCTCACGATTTGATTCGATTACGACGGCTGTGATGCAATTATCAAACGATTATCGATGCAGCTTGATGCATCGTTTTTTTCTGGATAATTGCTAAGCATTTAATTTGTACATTAAAATCCAAAAGAAACATTTGCTTAAAAGGACTATTTTGCATCCCTAAATTACTTTAGCTCCATGGTCACCACCTTTATTTATTTAACAATTAGTTGTCAGAGTCCTCTGAAAACTGAAATATAATTATCAGGATGTAACTTACAGTATGTATACAGGACAGAGGTGGTGTTAACAAAGACCTTCCATGCTCAGTAAACAATTTATTAGAAAAATCTGAGTCTAAAATAAAATAAAAATCAGTCTAACCTTGTTGCCAGATTTTGTCCTTGACATTTTACCCACATTATCTGATTTCTCATGCATGTGCAAACATAAAGAGTTACTGTGGACACAAGACTCTGCCCTTCAGCTCTGAAAAAACAGCTGTAGTGTGGGTGTACAGTATTCTGTTTCACAGCTTAAAGATTGATTTGTCCATGCTTATAATTGTATGCATGTATTGTAATGTAATTATTTATATAAAGCGGGATTATAACACCTAGAACACTTTGTTAAATGGCTAGTACCCAAAGAAACAGCCTCCCTCCCAGTGACCAGTTAGTCCTCTAGTCAGGCACTTGGCATAATTAATCAGCTTCATAAACATAACTGTGCATCTCAGGGTAAATGTTCCACTAAAGGCCTATTTTCTATAGCCAGTTCTCCATTAAGACTTTCTAATAGATATCACAACTGTAACAATTTCTCTCAGATTCTAACTCATAAAATGGCTAATGGTTAATATTCACTTTCTTTAAAAGCAGCCAAAGTGTTTCATGTAAGCTACACAGTCTGACCTTAAGTCAAGTCAATTTTATTTATACAGCCCAATATACCAAATCTACCTCAAGGGGCTTTACGATCTGTAGAGCAAATGACACCCTCCATCCTTAGACCCTCGATTCAGACAAGGAAAAACTCCCCAAGAAAACCCCTTTACCCAGAATAACATCTTCAAGATATACTGAGCAGAGACCACATGATGTGCCGCCCTATTAACAATTTTGAAACTTCTGTATTTATACTGGAAATTTTGACTTTTATACAAATAACAATGCTAGATCTAAAACTATTTGTCAATTAATTTCTAAGTCGATCAAAAGAAAACGGTAACACTTTATTTCGATAGTCTGCCTACAGATGGTTTATAGAGCATTTGTTACATTTCAACTGTTTTACTTTGTCTGTAGATGTTTAACAGATTATCAATATGTTACAGTTCTCGAACATATCCTAATCAAGATGAGGGTTTTTTTGTGCCTAAACCTAACCGAAACCAGAAAACGGTTTGAATTGTTGAATCTCAACTAATAATTTGTTGAAAAGTTATAAATACTCTAAATACTCTACTAAACTGTCTGTAGGCGGACTATCCAAATAGTGTAACCCAGAAAACTAATCTGTAACTGTTAATGATAATAGTTTCATCATTTCAGTCATGTTTCGAGCGAAAACACCAGAAATTCTGACTCTTTGAAATTTACCCTTCACTAAGCCACGCCCCGAATACACAGCCGGCTGTTCTGCTTTTTAATGATTGTAATAATTAATAGGTGTCTACCCAGCTTTACAGGAACAGTGTTGAGCATTCATATCGTTGTCTTTTGTCTCACTCGTCAGGGGATGCGGTGGTTCACTTGTACTGTGTGATCGGTAGGCTTTAGCTTCTGTCTGTCTGTCTTTCTGAGATCACTTTTTCTATATAATTTGACAATATTTCTCTGGGGTGTGCACTAATAGACAGTGGAAGCGCCGACAGTTTGTCGGACTTAGCAACAGTAACTAAGGGGGCGGGGCTTAGCAAAGGGTCAATTGTAATGGGCATATTTCACAGTGACAATTTACAGAATTATTTCAATTAATTGAGAAAATAATCAGATAAATAAGAGGCAGATTAATACATAATGAAAATAATTGTTAAGTGCAGCCCATTACAGTAATACTGATTGTGTTGCCCTGTTGGAAACCTTTTCAGTTTTCCTTTCCAGCCAAATTAAAATGATCTATTGCTGTTTCCCTTTGCATGTTAGTATTGATAAACTGCTGCAGCTCCCAAAATAGATCCTGCATTCAAATTTAGAGAAACGTGTGTCTACCAGGGGAGTGCAGACAACAAGCTGGGGCAGAATGGAAACTCCATTTGGCTGGCAAATAACGTGGTGGTTCTTGTGACCCCAGATTGCGAGCCTAACCTCAGCAAAGGTTTGGCACGGAAATTCTGGGATTTACACGCAAATGAGCGCAGGATGGAAAACATTGAAATACTGTATAACCTGAGCTGGCACACAGAATAAACTGACTGGTGTTTTCATCATAGATTCAAATCACCGGCAGCCAATTTTAAGGCTGCCTTTTTTACACCTGGCTGGGGGACTACCGATGAAAATTTGCCCTTTTTAGCTAACTCGGGTACATTTACATTGTTTTAATGTTGATTAATGTACACTGTCCCCTTTCAAATAAATAGAGAGAGAAATTACAAGTTAGCTCAATTCCTATGATCTAGACTTATTACACAGTACATGCAGTTGCAATGGCCAGAGTTTAGGGCCCACATACCACATCTGAAATCTACAGTTTCTTTATATCTGCATCAGTGTCATGCCAAAAATAGCATTCCTAACCTACTAACCACTTAGCAATTCAGTAACCTTTGAGTAGGTTAGGAATGCTGATATTTGAGGCCAAGAAAGAACTAGCTTTCTGCTATAAAACCTAGTTTAGGATCTACACAATGTACAAATCATGCAACAACATACAAGGAGGAGAAAAGGATCAAGCTCCATGAAAACTAGGGGGATAACATAGCAGGCTGATATCAGATATGTGGTAACAGGCCAGGATCTGCCGGATGCATCAGTTGTCTGACACAATTAGGAACAGCTCTCACTGCCGGTCTGTGTCCTGTTTCTGCTCCTGGCTCCTGTCAGGTGAAAGTGGTAACAGAGCACCAGGGCTAAGGAGGCTGACATGCAACACTGCAGCAGGATCATATGTTTGAGGATGATAGGGGGGTGGGGGTATGTAGACAGCAGAAGGGGTCATGCACTGCCAACCAGAGCTGTCAACTATTAAATTAATCACCAACTATTTTGATAATTGATTAATCAGTTTGAGTAATTGTTTGACTCCTGCTTTTTAAATGTGAATGTTTCCTGGTTTCTTTACTCCTCTATGACAGTGAACAGATTATATTTGGGTTGTGGACAAAACAAGACATTTGAGGAGGGCATCTCGGGCTTTCGGAAACAGTGATCGACATTTTACAGACCGAACGAGAAAGTTAATGGATTAATCGACAATTAAAATAACCGTTAGTTGCCGACCATTCCTGAAATCAAAGCCAAACAGATATTAAATACATAGCTTCTTCTTCCTCCATAAATCTTCCAGATACAGTCTGCTTCAGAAAACGTTAGTTAAGCATGCCTTCACTCACTTTGCTGCTCAGCACGCCGCGTCCTGACTGCACGACTGCAACCAAGCTAACGCCGCACACTAAATAAAGACCATTACTCAAAATGTTCAGACTGGACAATGAGCGCAAAGACGTGAACCGGTAGTTAGGGGAAGCGTCTGGAGATGGAGACGATGTTAGACCTGCATCTCAGCATCTCAGCTACGGCTTACCCTGGTTTATTACATAATAGTACGCACTGCTCGACTGCAGAGTCACGGCTGTCAACTCGCCACAGACACACACAGCAAATTAGCAATTAAGCTAGCTGCGTTTAATTAACATTAGCATGTGTTGGAAAACAGCATGATTTCGTGTTTTAGTTGTTTTCTTTGCGCGGCACTTACCTTTGCTTCGTTGGGGCTCTCTCATCAGCCTGTAAATCTTCAGGCAGTTCCCGGAGACGTTTGTCTGTAACGTTATGCTAACTGTTAGCTGACGATGTTTTAATGTTTATTACTAGATGTTCACTGCCTCGGCTGGTGATGGCTCGCGTCCTCCTCAGGCCAGCGGTGTCATGTTGGTCCTATATTAAGTTGGGGCAGTAGATAATAGACTTCACAATAACTGGTATGCTTTCTACTGTCTGTATACCGCCGACATTCAGTCAACTTGTTAGCTATTAGCCCGCCTGTACGATTCTGTCATGGGTTTGAGTGGACAAAAGTCAAAGCTACTACGCACATTTCCGGTTATACATTTCAAACTAAGAGCTAAAGAAAACTTTAATTTAAAGACCGCAAAACGTTCTTCTGTTCATACAATAACTGTATTCTAGTTATATAATGATTTCATTTGATGCTTTTCATTTGTATTTAATTGAATAAATTATTTGTCTGACGTAGACTGGTTTTCTTTTATTATGATGGCTTAAATAAATAAAGTCTTATGTCTTAAATTACACACAAAAAAGTTAGGTTTCAGACAATGTTTTTTCAGCTGCCTCTACAAATCTTTTCACTGTCCACAGACAAGTTTCCTTTTGTGTGTTTGACTTTTCGTATTGCTTATATTGATATTACTGTGGCTGAGCATAACTGCATACAGTAGTATTTTGCCATTATTTATTAAACCTTTTCTACCTGCATTGCACAGTTTGTGCTTAATGTTGTATATGAATAAAAGTTATATTATTTTTTAGAATTTGTTGTAGTATTAATAATGGCAGTATAAGGTTTTTCTATTGATATGGTGAAAAGTTTTGAGCGAATGCTGTGGTCCTTACTTTATTTTGAAGACCAAACGCTCAATATCCTGTCTCTGGCATTTAACGGGATAACTTGACGCAACTCTCTCTCTCTCTCTCGCCGCTCTCCGTTGTTTCTGCTCGGTGATCCTCTGATTTGCCTGGCTGGACAGAGCACTGAAAACATGTGATCAGTTCAGGTTGTACACGATGTTCATCTAAACACTTAAATTTAATAGAGATCATTTATTTATGTACGTCACTAGTTAGCATGCTTCTGAGAGTCATTGTTGTAAACTTGCTACAATAGGCTCTAGGTGGTATGTGGTATGACCTCATCATAGAAATTCTTGATATTTTTATTAGCTCATATGATAATGCTGGACGCACAATGTAAAATATGTAATACAAACTGAATAGAAATGACTACAGTTTATGCAATCAGGCAAATGCATGCATTCATGCTTTGGTAAAGAGTGACATCCAGTGGCTGATGGAGGTTTAAGTTTTTTAGAGATGTGTATGTGATATTGCATGGAAAATATCTAGAGGCACAAATTATGATGTGGTCCATGCTTTCCATTGGCTGTTTCTGGCCTTCTCAAGAAATGTCAAACATCATCAGTCCTCCATGTCTGTAATTATGGAAGTCTCCTCATGACCATTTACTCTGTAGAACATGGCCAATTTTTTCTTGGATTTTATTTTTTGTATTCTATCCAATTCTATACTCTTATCAGAAAAATACCAACATGTTATATTCATTTATTGTTCATTAAATTGTTATGTTTTGTTTGGTTTTAGTGCATGAACTTTCCATTTAAAGACTCCGTGCAGCCCAGACGTAATCCTGTCTTGTGGAACTTTTGTCTTACCTACATCACTGAATCAGTATACCTTTCTTTGGAGGGTTTTATTGTCCCATGGTTATTTGTGGGCCTATTCTAACAGTGAACCACACCCTTGACCTTGTTTTGGTGTATGGTATTGAAATTGAACATTTAGTGGTGTTCCCACAGAATCCCTCTTTATCCGACCACTGTTTGATAACTTTTGAGTTTGTATTGCTGAACTACTCGCCATTGGGCAAAAATTTCTATACAAGATGTCTGTCTGATAGTGCTGTAGCTAAATTTAAGGATGCGATTCCATCAGCTCTAAATACATTATCTAGTCACAAAGTAACGGAGGACTCCTATGCTAATTTCAGTCCCTCCCAAATCGATCATCTTGTTGATAGTGCTGCTGGCTCGCTGCGAATGACACTCGACTCTGTAGCCCCTCTAAAAAAGAAAATACTAAAACAAAGACGGTTAGCTCCATGGTATAATACTGAAACTCGCAAATTAAAGCAAATATCACGGAAACTTGAGAGGAATTGGCGTTCCACCAAAGTGGAAAATTCTCGTTTAATTTGGCAAGATAGTCTTAAAACTTATAGGAAGGCCCTCCGTAATGCCAGAGCAGCGTACTACTCGTCATTAATAGAGGAAAATAGGAACAACCCCAGGTTTCTTTTCAGCACTGTAGCCAGGCTGACAGAGAGTCACAGCTCTATTGAGCCAAGTATTCCCATAGCTCTCAGTAGTTACGACTTCATGAGCTTCTTTAATGATAAAATTCTAGCTATTAGAGACAAAATTCACCAAGACCTGCCCTCAACTGGCACCAACTTATCTCTAAACTCAGGAACCTTAGAAACAGCTGTAGAACCAGATACATGTTTAGACTGTTTTGCTTCCCTCAATCTTTACCAACTAACTTCAATAATTTCTTCATCTAAACCATCAACCTGCCTCTTAGACCCCATCCCGACTAGGCTGCTTAAAGATGTTTTACCCTTAGTCAGCACCTCTATACTAGATATGATCAATCTATCTTTATCAACAGGCTATGTACCACAGTACTTTAAAGTAGCTGTAATTAAACCTCTTCTGAAAAAGCCCAAACTTGATCCGGATGTTTTATCAAACTATAGACCTATATCTAACCTTCCATTTCTCTCTAAGGTTCTGGAGAAAGCAGTTGCTAAACAGCTGTGTGACTTTCTACAGAGCAATAGTTTATTTGAGGATTTTCAGTCAGGATTTAGAGCTCATCATAGCACAGAGACAGCACTGGTGAAAATTACTAATGACCTCCTTATTGCATCAGACAAAGGACTTGTCTCTGTACTGGTTTTATTAGATCTTAGTGCTGCATTTGATACCATTGACCATCAGATCCTATTGCAGAGACTGGAATATTTCATTGGCATTAAAGGAACCGCTCTAAGCTGGTTTAAGTCCTATTTATCAGATCGATTTCAGTTTGTACATGTTAACGATGAGTCCTCCATGCACGCCAAAGTTACTCATGGAGTTCCTCAAGGATCTGTCCTTGGACCAATCCTCTTCACTTTATATATGCTTCCTTTAGGCAATATTATCAGGAAACATTCCATAAGCTTTCATTGTTATGCAGATGATACTCAGTTATATCTATCGATCAAGCCAGATGAAACTCATCAGTTAGCTAAACTTCAAATGTGCCTTCAGGATGTTAAAACCTGGATGAGCTGTAATTTTCTTATGTTAAACTCAGATAAAACTGAAGTTATTGTTCTGGGGCCTAAGCACCTCCGTGACGCATTATCTAAAGATATAGTTTCCCTGGATGGCATCGCCTTGGCCTCCAGCACCACTGTGAGGAATCTTGGAGTTATCTTTGATCAGGACATGTCGTTTAAGTCCCACATTAAGCAAATTTCAAGGACCGCCTTTTTTCACCTACGTAATATTGCGAAAATCAGGAACATCCTGTCTAAAAATGATGCAGAAAAACTAGTCCATGCATTTGTTACTTCTAGGCTGGATTACTGCAATTCCTTATTATCAGGCTGCTCGAAAAAGTCCATTAAGACTCTTCAGCTGATCCAGAATGCTGCAGCACGTGTTCTGACAGGAACCAGGAAAAGAGATCACATTTCTCCTGTTTTAGCTTCTTTGCATTGGCTTCCAGTAAAATCCAGAATAGAATTTAAAATCATTCTTCTTACCTACAAAGCTCTTAATGGTCAGGCACCATCTTATCTTAAAGAGCTCATAGTACCTTACTACCCCACCAGAGCACTGCGCTCCCAGAATGCAGGGTTACTTGTGGTTCCTAGAGTCTCCAAAAGTAGACTAGGAGCCAGAGCGTTCAGCTATCAAGCTCCTCTCCTGTGGAACCAGGTTCCAGTTTGGGTTCAGGAGGCAGACACCATCTCCACATTTAAGAGTAGGCTTAAGACTTTCCTCTTTGATAAAGCTTATAGTTAGGGCTGGCTCAGGTAGTCCTGAACCATCCCTTAGTTATGCTGCTATAGGCCTAGACTGCCGGGGGATTTCCCATGATGCACTGAGCTCCTCTCTCCTCTACTTTCTCTCCCTCTGTATGCAACCTTATCCCATTATTGCATGTTACTAACACAACTTCTCCCTTTCTGGTAGTCTTGTGCTTTCTCGTCCCTCTCCTCTCTCCTCCTATCACTTCCTGCAGGTTTTCTGGCTCTGGAGCTGTGGAGTCTGGATCTGTGGCTGCGGGTCGCCTGCTGCCCCCGTGTTCCTGCTCGACACCCTCTACTGCAACGACTATTGTTGCTAGTCTTATTGTTATTATAATCATTAACATTACGATGGTTACCATTAACACTATTATAAATATCTGTACCATTTTTCATTTAGTTTATAGCAACATTACCTTCGCTGTCTGTACCTCTGTGTGTATATTGTGTAGGCTGCCTCCCTCCCCTCTCTCTCTCCTTACATCCCTCTCTCTCTCTCTCTCTCTCTCTCTTTCTCTCTCTCTCTCTCTTTCACTCTCTTCTCTCTCTCTTTCTCTCTCTCTCTCTCTCTCACCCCAACCGGTCGAGGCAGATGGCCGCCCACCCTGAGCCATGGTTCTGCTCGAGGTTTCTGCCTCTTAAAAGGAAGTTTTTCCTTGCCTCTGTCGCCTAGTGCTTGCTCTTGGTGGGAACTGTTGGGCTTCTGTAAATATCATCACAGAGTACGGTCTAGACCTGCTCTTTTATGAAAAGCGCTGTGAGATAACTGTTGTTGTGATTTGGCGCTATATAAATAAAATTGAATTGAATTGAATTGAATTGAATGTTTTGTGACATAAATGTAAATAAATATAGGAACATTTTGTCCCAAAATATATTGCTACAGACAGCTTCAGCCTAAACCTGATGACCTTACCTTCCATACATACATCCACAAACTGTACAAGTACATAGTACACTATTTAACCTATCCACATTTAATTAGTACACTGTACATACTGTATGAATTTGCATTCTCAACTCATGCAATTGCTCTGAAGCTTTCCAGATTTGAAAGAAATGAACAATACCTGCATAATAAGCTGTTAATAATACATGTTTGAAAGGATGATGTGTTGATGGCAGAGACTGAATTACTCAAATCTCTGCAAAGGGAATCTTGTCTTTGTTATTGTATGCAAAAGTGAACAGACACACTTGTGTATTTGAATATGTTGTGTCTGGCCACTAGGAACAACATATTTTAAATGGTGTGTTAAAGCTTGAAAATAATTACAGTTGAACAGTTCAACAACAACAACAAAAAGATTTCAAAGACATACTTTGAGGGCTAAAGCTTTTTCTTAAAAATGAAATCAGCATGGCCCTGGAATGATCATAAGACAGAATGAAATTACGATGGGTGATAAACCATACACCAGGCCTATTCAACTTGTGGTTCGGATCAGTTCTATTTAAAATAAATAAGAATTTTAACTTGAAGAAAAAAAAAGGTAACTTGATCAAAAACATTGTTTTGAAGCTCAATTCTGAGGCTGTTTAGCAAACAGATTTCTATTTCAATTTCCGGCTTAAATTTTTAACTGGTCTAGCCCACATTCGGTTTAACCCTGACCCCTTCCAATATTTAGATAATTAAGTTATTTGAACAGGTATATATACAGACAATAGTGTACTCACGTATCCCTACACAGTACACCTAAAACTAGAGGGTGAAAGACAAGACTGTTTACTGTAGAGTCTGTTTGGTTGAGTCTGCTGTGAAAACCAACTAACCAACTAACCCAGGCGGAAAACTGTATTATGGGCCCAAGGGCGCCACTTTGTGTTGAAAAGTGGTGGAGACATAGGGGCTCAGACTAGGGATGTGTAAGTGTGAAGAGACACTTAGCTCGCGAGACATTAGCAATATTAGGTTCACAAGAACGAGACAAAAAGATCCTTAAACAGTGTTTTAAAGATATCCTCAATGCTGAGATACATGAGTGTGGGATCCGGGGTGGGGCCTTAACCCTAATCTCCCCCAGGAAATTTTAATTTCTTGCATTCTGGTGAAAGTTTCTGCACCAATTTATGGTGGAAATGTTTTTTATTTATGTAGAAGGAAACACAAAATTCAGGTGGCAGGTGTAATTTCAAAATAGATAAATATAATAGAATATAAATCAGTGCAGCTCTCATGCATTCTGTGTTGTTTTCTCCTGTAGATTAACTTTTCTCATGTAATATCGTCCCTGCAGAGGCAACACATATGTAGGCAGGATTGAGTCTTCCCTCATCTTTTGTCATGTTCACAGGGAGAGAACAAAAAACTTGGCCAAAAAGAAACTGTGTCAAGAAGCTGTTAAAGTTACTGATTTGCTCATGCACGTTTTTGGGTCATTTTATAATCAGTAGCTTGTTTTATTTTAGCTTAAGTTACATTTTTTGGACAGTGTAAATACTCTATGTTTTATTTGCATTGCATGTTTTCAAATGTGCAAATAAACCTTTCTAAAGGCATTTTCATTTTTTTTTAACAAATTATGCTTTAAGAAAGTGGTGGGGACTAAATTAGCCATTTCAGAAAGTGGTGGGGACATGTCCCCAGCGTCCGCAGTGTAAATGACACCTATGTATGGGCCCCTTTCGGTCCTCCTCTTGCCTTCTCTGTAGCTGTCCATGTACCCTGTCACCTTGAAGTACCCTGATGTGCAGGCTATGTATTGAAGAAATGTTTATTATGTAGATCAGTTCTTGGGCCCTTGATGATCAGTGGACCCCAGTGTAGTGGTCCCATCCGCCCTGTGGGTAATCCGGGCATTGTATTTGGCATGCTAATATTTCTGACTCGTTATAATGACTGGATAGTGTTAGTTACACCTAACCTCTCTCAAGTCCTGCTGAGGACACAGTGTAGGCTAAGAGGAAGTGGAATACAACACACGTTTGTTTTCTGAAATATGAGAAACAAACCACCATCTTTGTTAAACTCTTTAGATACTTACTAATGCAGGGTTTGAGGTCGTGACACACGAGGCTTCAGAAAGTCTGGGGAAGATATCTTTTCCATATTATCTTCACCTGTCCATTAACTCCAAGCCACAAACAGCAGGGTCTTCATAAATAAAACCTTAGAGGTAGTGTTTGCAAATAATGTATCTGATAATATGTGTCTTTTGCTGTCTATTCATATCTCCCAGTCACTGGTTGTGACATGATTATGTGACCTTCTGTGTGACATGGCCTGTCCTTCATCTGTGTTTTTTTGACAGCTCTTCTTTCCTCCTGTTTGTTTTCCCCCCCTACACAACCTCTTCTTTCCCACAATGCTCAGCGTACATCACCACCAAGATGGCCGACGCTATGGAGGAATATGAGAAAGAAGCTGGCTGCGTCCCTATTCTCCACCCCGAGGTATGGTCCTTGGACTTCATGCCTTCGCACGGACACACAAACATACACAAAACATATTACACCCGTTTGTGTGTGGGCGACTGTGTGATTTTACCGTGCTTTCTTTTGGAAACTCCGATGCCCCCTGTAAAACCACCGGTGGGGGGTGGCAGGTAGCTAACGATGCTAAAGGTGCTAACGCTAGCCCCCCTCCTCCTGCTGCATAGCAAGGAAACGCTGCCTGGGCAGATGTTCGTGTTAATGTTAACGCTAAGCTAGGTGGTGCCTTCCGTGGTAGTGATGCCGTGCAGCTAGTAAACAAGATTGTAAGCTCTGTGTGGTCCGTTATGGGAAAGTAATGTTAATTCTCACAGTCATACGACGGTAGCTTTGTTGCTAAACTGGCAGCCAGCACCAACGCTGGCTGCCAGTTTAGCTGATGTAAAATTGGGGTCAAGCGTAACGTTTTATGTGTAACGTTATATTAAGCTGTGGTGTCCAGCCGGCGGTCACAATCATATAATGTTAACAGCCATGAATGTAAAAAAAAAAAAAAAAAAAACACAGAAAAGATTACAAAAAATCCGCCCTCTTCTTGAAAACCATATCCGTTCCTTATGACATTTTGCAGACCCCTCAGCTAGCTAACCTAACGTTCCAGCACTTTCACTTTTTGGGATTGTCAGTAAGTTAACGTTATCTTTCAATTTGTCATTTAGCATTCGTCGTTTCTGCCATCTGATATCGTTGTTTTCTTACGTTTGGATTTAAAATGTCGTGAGTCAAGATAAACAAATGACTTGTTTAAATCCTATTTATCCCATAATGACTCCAGAAATAAATGGCACTGGCTGAAAATCATTCATCTCAGCATGGCAAGAACTTACTTTAATGTTCTTCTCTTTAGCTAACTTGGAATTGTAACCTATTTAAAGCCAAGGCACCATCTTAAAGGAGGATAGAGTATGAATGGTTGATTGTTAACATTATGTTAATAACAAGCCTGAGGCTGTATATTCACCTTTTTGTCCTTCTCAGGTAAACACAGGTGTACCTGACTACACAGCATGTATGCACCAATACATGCCATGGCTCTTTTTGTAATGGTAGATTGTGTTAGGTTTTGCATACTCAACACAGCCTCGTTATTAGATGCCCTGATCTAACCACCAGGAAGAGCTCTGTTTAATAAAAATAGTAAGTTGCCAGAATGATAGTTGGCTTGTTTTTCTTACAGCAAGCTTGTTTAGCTTGTTGGTCTGGAGCCAGCAGGTCAGGTGGGCTAATTTACCTTGTTTGGACAGTAACTGTTAATCCTGTCAGTCTCAGGAGGAAGCCGTTAATGTCTAGTCAGTTCCCAAGATGCTGGAAGATGAGTTTATGTATGTAGTGAAAATACAAGTGTAGATTAGATGTAGGTTTTGGTTATTGTAAACCAAAATGTACTTGCCATTTTGGCCTTCACACACTATGCCAGTATGTACATAAGCATATACTGTATGTTGATCCTGTGTTTTTGTTTTTACTTGTATAAAGGAAAGAAAAGAAGACAGTTTGCAGTTTTATCTTCCATCTCTTTATGTAAACTAGAGATTTAGCCTGTTTTCTTTTTGAGTTTATGAGTACCTTTTCTAAGTTAAATACTGCAGGTAAAGATAACACCATTTCGCAACCAAAACAATTATGGTACACCCGCATAATGTTATCTAAATTGGCCAAAATATATGGTCATTTAACACCCCTCCCAACCAAGGTTGAAAGCAGGTCTCTGATAATGATAATTTGAGTTAATGTTGTTTGGCAGTTAGGTGCATATGGCTTTATTTGGGACAGACTGGGTCACTAGTTCAGCATGCTTAATATGCTTACAAGACGCTGTCATGTGCACATTTTCTCTATGAAAGCTGTATGGCCTAGAGGATTTATTCCGGTTTGATTTTATGCGACCGACTGAAGTTAGTGAACAGCAATGTGAACCCTATAATAAGGTTCAGCACAGGGGAGGTAGGAAGTATAGCAGCCAATAGTTAATTTAAACTAGAACAAAAGTGACAGTTACCATTATGTTCTGAACAGACACCTTACAACCACTAAGAAAAAGTGTCATTTGCATTTTGCAACTTGACAGAGCAAACTTAACAGAGTACTCAGTCCAACACTAGGGATGATGGAAAATGTTACTACAATTCTCCTGAACATTTTTTGTACTGGCCCAACTCTAACGCTTCCTCTCTTTGGAACTATAACCATATAATTCAGGTGTAGACTGACGCAGTCGTCTTGCTGTTAGTCTGAGCTGACTGTTGAAGATCTTTCCTCTTTGTCACTTGGGAAGGATTAGATTTTTCAGTGGGAGGGTCCTCGCAAATAATGGCAATATATTTACCTTTTATTCTTTGCTCCCTTGCCACAAGTAATTGTTAGTGATTCCGTCTTTTGTTTGTTTTTGTGGGTGTCACTGCTCGACCTGACTGGGACCTAGACTTGTCAGTGTGGATTTAGTGTTGGAGGCTGATATAGTGCTTGACATTGCATACAGGAACACAAATCCAAAAGCACAGGAAGGAAAAGGTGCCTGGTTATTGTCAGCTGAAGTATAATGCACAGACAGCAGAGATTGAAAGAGGTAAAAATGCAGCCAATGTAGGGCTGGGCGATATGGCCAAAAATGTTATCACGATAAAAACATTTCATATCATTCGATATCGATAATTATCACGATAAATGTCATCGTTATTTCTTTCAAGTTTAAAGGCTGATTTTTGCTCCTGACTGAAAAATCAAGAAACCAGATGGTTAATTACGTGGTTCGACTTTTCTTTATGGTCAGAATGGGACAAACACTTGATGCCAAACAGTGGATCACTTAAATCTGAGGGAGAACAATCAAAAACTATTATGATATAAAAAAGTTTTAAACAAATATGATTAGTAAGTCTTTTTTCAGTCCCTTTTCCTCAACAAAATAAATATTATAATAGAAAAATTAGGTGCTAATTTATTTGTGATTCATATGAATTAAACCAAATATTTATTGACGATATATTGAACAATTATTATATTGGTATTGAGGAAAATTATGTTGCGATAATTCTCATTATTGGTTTATTGCCCAGCCCTAAGCCAATGTCACGGTATAATGGGTCTCAGAAAGTTTGATTTTTACGCAGTTGACCTCTGTAGTACAGGAATGTGTTTTCAAAAGGTAAACTGCCACGGAGTTAGAGAGGTGCCACAGCATTCACAATATGACTTTTTGGCCACACATCTACCTGTTATTGAACGATATGTCTGACAGTAGTGGCTTCATCGTACATTGAGTTTATTTTCCTGTATGCGTATACAGTGTTTGCTTAAAGCTGCTCCTCTCTTAGGTTGGAATCTGTGGAAGCACCACACGGTAAATGCCTTTTCACACAGGAAGCGATTTACGCAGCTAGTAATTCATCTGTGGAAACACTGTACTGTGCATTTACAGATGTTTCTGGTGGTTCCTCTTGAAGCTAATAAGCCTATTTCTTCCATGTTGGCATTTCACTGGGATGCTGCAACGTAACACCAACCCCTCGTGATCAGATCGCCCTTCCGTGATCTCAAGAAGCCATGATATGAAAATAAAGAAGATTGCCCAAGCCTAAGAGCCGTTAAAGGAAGTGTAGTTGCTTATTCAGAAGGGACATGCGCATACTTTTCTTTGAACCAGTTCAACATGTTGAATCCAAACATTTCCTCTCTCGAGGAATGTAAACGATCTGTGTCCCTGATTTACAATCTCATTTGAAAGTGCAAATGAGCTTTTTTCCATAAAAGGCACGTAAAGGTGCTCAGCGACTTCGTTTGAAATTTCACTTGTAGTGCAAAGTGGAAATTGTGCATTCTGTTTTAGTGGATCATTCCTCATAAAAATTGCGTTTCTGCTTCCCCTATGAACCATAGATTTAAATTGTGCTTTGAATATTGAATTAGTGCCTAGAAATGGCTCCTTTAAGATCAAATCTGGTTGTGAGCAGTGGCTGCAAGAGGGAGAACACAGTGCAATCTAGTCTCAGCAAAGTCATCATTGCACAGACCGTGAATAAAACCATTATGGTTTTTTGTTTTCTGCTGTAAGTTTTCCCAATTAAAATGTAAATGTTGGTCTCAAACTGAAGGTGGAGCAGGTGAAGAAAGCTCAGAAACAGATGTTTTTCTTAAGGAAAGGCAAGTTCTGGTCAGCTTTTACAGAGGAGCAATAGAAAGTATCCTGACTGGAAACATCACATCACAACATCATTCCAGTACTAGAAGGCTCTGCAGCAGCAGGGTGCAAAGTTAGCACTAGCAACCAGCCAGTTAAAGTATGGAAGTGGATGGTAAATTTGCTTCCCTCACCAGCCAAAAAAACAATGGTTGCTGGTAAAGTTTAATCATTCACTATTTTGCTGTTCAAGAAAAAGTTAATGCTTGCACCCTGGCAGAAGGTGCAAACCACTCAGAAGATAATTGGTGCCCATCTACCGAGCAACAGCAATATTGGTGAGGTGCCGGCGCAGAGCCCAAAGGATCATAAAATACAGTACTCACCGCACTCACAGCCTGTTCACCCTGTGGCCTTCTGGGAAGAGATATAGTAAGTTTCTGCTGTAGTACCACCAGACTTCAGAGCAGCTTCTTCCCCCAGGCTGAGAGACTCTTAAATTCCTCCTCAGCGCTCCACCATGCAAAATAGTAGTATTTTTTTTTTTTTTACATAATTTTATTATTTGTGTATATAACGTTGGCTCTTTGTGAGTAGCAAAAGGAAACTTCAAACTTCATCTCATTATACAACCTTTTTGTTGTAAAATGACAAATCAACCGTGTAAACATGCATTTTCAGAAATGGTGCTCTTGAACAATTTTAGCTGAAGGCACGTGACCACCCCCTCCCCCAGGGAGTTGTTGCCATATGTCTCACTGACCAGCTCCATTGACAGAAGCCAAACCTGCTGCTTCACTGAAAAGATGAGGTTCCAACTTAAAATCAGTGGTTAGCATGAAATGGATAATGTGTTTAAATGGAGTTATTGTCACTGCTGCCTGTCTAGTTGTATGCATCACCAGAAAACAGGTACATAATTAAGAGGCGAAAAAATGCACAGGCTGCAATTATCACCACAGTTAGAAATGCCATCATCAGCTTTTTAGATGGCAGGAGGGAATGAAGAGAAGGAGTGGGGCCACTGTGACTGGTAAGGGGTCAAAGGTTATCTCCACAGAAGGTTGAGATGGAGAAAGTTATTTAACGCTTAGTGTCTGAGGATTTAAAGCCGGGTCCTCTTCCCCCTGTCACTAGACCTGAAAGGGAAGCAATTTTTCTTTAGAGGAATTGCGAGCGCTTTCCCTCAATTGAATATCCAGACGAAGGCTATTTTTCCTGGGCTTCTGTTTGTCAGTCAGTTGTAGGAAAGAAAAAAAAGCTCAGAACAGTCACAATCACAACTGAGAGACTACTTACCTTTTCTAAGGCAGCTAAACTAGTCTGAATAGCACATGGGGAAGCTGAAACAGATTGTATGGATTTATAAATGACCAAAACTTGGCAATGAAAAGAACAAACGCCTCCTGGCAGCTTTGACACTGGAAAAATACAGGAATAAAAATATGAAATGGCCTCCTCCATCTCCTCTTTCACATCCTCCCCCTCAGTCTGATTTACTCTCAAAAATAAAATCCCTCCTTTGCTGGTCTTAGCTTCTGTTTTTCTCATTTGTCTCTTGTATTATCATGGTAGTATCATGTAATGTTTGGGATCTAGGAATTAAAGCTCATTAGGCTGTTTGTAAATGCATTATCTTAAGTAACATTTAAGTAGGTTTTGAGGTTTGACTATCGCATATTGTGATTGGTAATGCTTCTAAGGTTACTGTATTTATTTTATTACGTGATGTTTCTGTAATTTCATATGATTTCTTATGAAAACAGGATATTGAAAGTAGCTTTGCTACTTCAAAGATTGTGGGAATGTATTTTTTTAGTTGAATTTCTTTTTGGGGGCACCTATATGGCACACTGGCATCCTGGCTCTGGTTAAATCCACATCTGTCCCCTGCAGATGAACTATCCAGTGTAAAATGAATAAGCTGTATTCCTCACTGTGAGGAAGAGACTGAGAATCATTATTTTATGTGTAAGCAGTGTTTCCAAGGCCCTCCACAGTCTAATTTGTTCCACCATAGTTTCAAAATGAACCGAAAATATTTTTACACATCTCATTATAACATTTACATTTATTCATTTAGCTGACGCTTTTCTCCAAAGTGACTTACAATTGCTATACATGTAAGAGGACTTCTAACGTTGGGTTTTGTGGGCGCTGCTGTAAGCTCGCGCGCTCAACCACTTTTCTTTCGAGGCAACTACGGTAACGTTAACGGTCTGTTTCTGTTTCTGTTTGTGAGAAGGCGATTAAGCTAATTTGGAGTGCACACGTATTCAAGCTTTTATGGTAAATCCACTGAAACCAGAGCGAGCTGACAGGCAGGTTAGCGACTTTATCCTGTCATTTTCTCTCTTTACAAAGACAAAAATCACTTAGTCACTTAAAATCCTGCGGGAAACACTGTGTAAGGCAACATCAGGCTTGACCTAAACATTGCTTCCTAACTTTGTAAAACAAAATGCTACGTTAGCTCTCCTAGCAAAATGTTCAGAGGAGTGCTGCCGCATCGTTTAGTATATGCGTAATTGAATTTGATAGATTGGTCCCACAGTCATCGATACCCGATCCATCTATTTGAGTCAGCACCAGCTGATATCAGTATCGTATCGGTGCATCACGAAGCACTAGTAAAGTAGCAACAGAAAATAGTTTCCCAGAATTCAAAGTGGAAGAGAAATGTAGATGTGTTGCATTTTTTGGACCGTTATGTAATAATATAGGTGAACTGAATGATTCATTGTTTTTACATCAAAATTGCAATTTGAAAAATTATTTGAATTTTGAAAGTGCAATTATCAAGTAACATAATTAAACAGTGTCATAAAGCTCTAGCCAGTCAGTGTTTAGAGGTAACCTGCAAAGTTTTTGACCTCTAGTAGTGATATGGAGCTGTAGAAGTTCTTTTTTTTGTTGTTGTTTTTTACGGGCCAGTGGTGTCACAGTATTCCACTGATCTACTTTGCAGTGCGCCAAGAAACGCAGCAATGCACCAACAAATGCATGAAAGAAGACGACTGCTTGCTAGTAAAGAACTATTTGTTTATTTTTTTTATCATTTAACGACTATTCGGTAACTGTGACCCATTCCTAGTAAACATGGATGATACAGGCCTTTAGTTGAATTTATTAAAAACAATCACAATTTAAATTGGCAATCACAATATTGGTCAGAAAAAATGACAATAAGATAACTTCCTAAGATTGATCCCAGTCTCCATTCAAGTGTAAAACGCAATCTGTCTGTGTTAGTTTTTCTCATGCACCCTCTCCTTCCTGCCACTCCACCACCATTCCCCATGGTGGCAGAAAAGCTGTCTCAGCACATCCTTTTAGCTCTGTAGGGAAGCCCAAGCTAAACTTAGAGGCAAGATGGTCCACACATCTCTGTGGCCGTCTCGCCTCATGCTACACAGCAGCTCCGCACAGGCCTGCCATGTTCTCGCCCCCTCTAAAAGCCGCCTCGTTATTCCTCAGCGTTATATGTGTGCGAGCAGCAGCACAGCCAAAAAGGCTTGAATGCCTGCTCGAAAGTTGACCAAAGTATTGCGCTTTTTAAGGCGGTGATGTTGAAATAGCAACATTATGGGTGATGTCAGATCACGCATCACAGTTTTGACTCCAAATTTGATTGCAAAATTGTTATTTCTGTCTACCTCTTAATTTAAAATTTAATGACTTGTGTTTCTCTATGACAATAAATTAGAAGTGACTTAACTCAGTTTAACATTGGCCTCAGTTTTTGTTCACAAAGTAAAGCGTCAGAATGGCAAAAGAGCAGTGTGGGTGCTCTGCGTTTACCAGATGCAGCCCTCGTTTCCGGATGATGGAGGCTAATTATGGTTTCCTTGGCGTCACTATGGAGGATAATTGAATGTCAGTAGCACAGTCACCACATCTGTGTGATAGATTAGATCTTCAGCAGCAGCAGGACTCAACATGCCTGTCCTGCATGTTGAGTCCTGTTGCCCCCCCCCCCCCCATTTAATGTTGTGATCAGTTATATCTCTTGGAGGTGTTGTATTTCTGGCTTGCCCAGCCTGTCCATCCTGTACTACACATGTCGTGTTGCTCTGTGAAAAAATCTTGCTAGTCTTGCAAGCATTAGAGCACTCTTGTTTCTTGTTCCCAATTGAAGCTGATAGACATTGTTCACAGACATTTGAATTGTCGTAGCAGAAAAGGCTAGAGGGTGGCAGGGGAGTGGATTTTCACTCCTGTCCCATCCAGCTCCTGTGACCCACAGGATTTCTGAAAAAATGTCAGCCTCTAGAAGAGCCACAGGTAGAACAAATGTTGATTTCAGCAATTAATAAAGGTTTTACATGTCACACAATTCCGACTTTTCTCAACATGTGAGATGTCACACACAGAATATGTCATCCTCCCTAAATCTCTCATCTAATGTTCTGTAGAAAGGTTTGGCCATATGACAGTCAGTGTTTCCTCTAGGATTTTTTTCAGCAACAGGGGCAGGACAAACAGCACCCACCACTACAACCTTTAGATCTGGAGAAACTAATTTGGTTGGTCCTGTTGCTCCACAGGGATTTTACAGTGATGGCACAGCATGTTTTGGGCATCAGCCCTAAGCCTTAACGGCAGGAAAACCTGATAATATGACCTCAGAATCATTATAGATACGACTGTTTGCCTTTTGTGTCTTCATTTTACAGCTTCTGACATTTATCTGTAGACATTAATATAAAAATAGGCAACATGAGAAACCTCCTCCCTTCTGAGGTGCATTTTATTTGCACATTAAAATCCAAAAGAAACGTCTCCTCATTAGCTTAACAGGACTAGTTTGCATCACTAATTAGTTTTACTAACCTCAGCTCCTCCGGTCACCTTCATCCTTTCTTTTCCAAAACCACTTTTTCAGACTGAAAACTGAAAAATAATTGAATCAGTCTGTACAGGACAGAGCTGCAGGCTACATCAGTTTAGTCTCAGTTTGTACCTGATGTTCTCAACATTGGACAAGTAGGCAGTAATAAAAATACAGCTTCCAGTTACTTTCTATAAATTGAGCAAATGACAGGATGTACCAAGACAATAAAAAAGTGTGTTACTGTAATAGATTTTGCCATACTGTTTATACTTTGGTACCTGTCCCCTAAATATCTCTGGGTTTAGGGCTGTAACTAATGATTATTTTCATATTTCTTGATTAATTGTTTGTCTGTATAAAACATTCTCAAAGGCTATTGTAATGTATTCAGTTTGCTTATTTTGTCTGACTAACGGTCTGAAACCTTAAGATATTCAAATTACTGTCCTATATGACAAAGAAGATCAAATTTGAGGTTGAAAAAGTTGACACATTTGAGAAGCTGGAACCAGAGAACTTACATTTAGACAACATTTACACAACTTGCATTTACCTTGAAAAATAACTGAAACAATTTATCTGTGATCAAAATAGTTGGCAATTAATTCTCTGTCGATTAACTAATTGATTGATGGACTAATTGTTGCAGGTCTAGGTGTACATAAATGTTGCATAACATCCAGCAGGTCTGCTTCATGGCATTATTGGGCTATTTTTATTTAAACAGTTTTGCAGTTGAATTTCCATAAAATTAATATTGTGAAATAAATTACGTGATGGATTTTACTCACCTGTTTTCTGTATTATAAATTAAGTATATAATATACTGCAACGAACACACCCCACCTGCCAGTGATTTAACTGTTAACGCTGTTTTTCTTTCTCTCCCTCTCTTTTGTTCTTCCAGGAAATCAAACCGCAGAGTCATTACAACCACGGCTACAGTGAGACTGTTAGTCGTAAAAACCATGTGGATGACTACAGCACCTGGGACATTGTCAAAGCCACACAGTGAGTGGATAATATATGTGTTGTTGTCTCATGTGGTCACACAGTCAGATTTTAATGCAACCTCAAGAAATGATGCATGAATTTGTTTTGTCATGGTCATAATTCACACGTTCAGTCTCAGAAAGGCTTTTATTGTAACTTTAAACTTTCATTCGAATTTGGGGGGAAAAATACTCCAGCTGTAATGACCTTTTGAAATTAAAAATGTACAGTCTATAAGCGCAACAGACTGTTGCTGCAAAGAAAGTACTTTCCCTTATGGTCTGACAGAGGGCACTCTTAGATCTGCTTGAGCTATAGCATACTGTATCAGTAAACTAAGCTAATTAATAAACACGGAGGACGACACTAGGTCATGCTGATGGGATAATCATGACAGCAAAACATCTGGGAAGCAGTGTGTGAAAGTATTTTGGGTTCTACACCCTACAAGTCAAAGTTGCCCTCCACTCAGCAGTCAACATGGATGACGAGACTCATTTATGAGGTTGAGAAGCAGCACATCTTGTATGATCCACAGCACCCTTTTTTACAAGGATATCCTCATATGGTGGCAAAGAGGTTTGGAAGGAAATTAAATTAGTTATGAATAAGTGAGTTAGACAGTGATTCATTTGCAGAGGGAGAAATCTCAATCTAATTTCCTGCGACATCCTGCCATACATTCCTGCAGACATTCCTGCGATCGTAGTATATCTGGACAGTTTTTCACGCTCCATCTGCTAGAGTTCGCTCGCCATATGTTAGGAAGCATTGTTACTCTACAACTGCAACAAATCACCACACTAGCTTGCCACCAATGTGAGGCAGCGGAGGCACCACAAAATGGCGGGGCAACCGTACAACTGGGTCTGACTGCCTGCTCACTGTTAGTGCGGTTGAATGACACAACATGGGAAAATGTAAAAACTGTAGGGAAGGCACTCTCTGTTGTAGGGACACCACAAATTTTAATTCCAGAACTAACGGCACACTGTTTTTCGACTGTGGTTTTCTGATTCAGCACATTTTAAAGAAGTAATTCACAAGCTCAGAACATGAAGAGGGAATGTAGGAGGGGGGAGGAGAGATGTGGAAGTGTCTGCCTTATAAGATAACAAAAGCGTTGTCTGAGATGTTGTTACATTTGACAACGGCAGATTTAACTTGTTTTGATTTGAGGTTAAGAATATCTGTTTAAAGACAGCCAGTGCCAAGTTAGGGCACAGTGTGGGGGTCTTGTTAGAGCCCGAGTATCCGTTTATCAGTGTTTTTATGTTGTCAGTTTTTGTGTGTGTGTTTTTATGTAGGTGTGCATTTTGTCAGTGTGTCTAGGTTTAATGTATTTAACCCTGTTTATCTGTGTTTGCACATTTATTTGTGTGCGAGGAGACTTTAATCCCCCTCTGCCCTTCTTCCTCAGGTACGGCATCTTCGAGCGTTGCAGGGAGCTGGTGGAGGCGGGCTTCGATGTTCGGCAGCCAGACAAAGAAAACGTAACGCTTCTCCACTGGGCCGCCATCAACAACAGGATAGACTTGGTCAAGTGAGTCCCGTCATGTTTTGTATGAAGCTGGAGATGGTGACAGATGCAAAGAGTTATATTTAGTTCTAAAGTCAAGCACAGTCCTTCCTTTAATCAAGACGGCAAAATAGTGTTGACGCAAGATCGACCAATCAGCAATAGGGTTAGAAAATGAGCGCTAAACCAATTGCCCTCCCAGGGTAAACATTGAAACAGCTGATTGTACAGCAAGGCAGACGTGTTTTCAGTTTTATTTCTAATATTTTGGTCATGTCCTACTGCTTTTTATTCTTATCAAAAGACCAGCCAACAATCTATCCATTGTCGCACCACTTCTGCAGGCTACACCAAGATTAGATCAACAAGAATCAACAAGAGGAGATTCAGGAGCAAATTCAGTATAAAATTTCACCTGGTGATTGTGTTTGTACGTGCAGGTACTACATATCAAAGGGAGCCATAGTGGACCAGCTGGGAGGAGACCTCAACTCCACACCCCTGCACTGGGCCACCAGGTAACACACACCCACCACTGATAACAAATCAGCCATTGGGTGGGCATATTTAATCCACATATTTTGTTGCTAGTCAACACTGTTAGGAATGCTGCCTTCTAATGGAGCTTGTGGTAACAACATGAACACGATGTGTTTAGCATTCAAGTGGTAGGTTGTGAGAACACCGCAGCTAGGCAACGGTAATTGGACGCCGAAAGACTCCTCGTGAACACGGCACATGAGCCCATTTGAAGACATTATCCCCCATTTCCACTCAATTGTTAAAGGTCTTCTATTTCCTCCTCTCGTCTTCCACTTTGTAACGATCACTCAGGCATGCTGTAACTTGTGAGAAGGAACAGGTCACATGAGCACCACCCCACCCCTGTCCAAAGCAGACAGGGGGGCTCTCATCCTGAATTATTGATAGGTTTGGCTACAGGCATCCTCAGAATCCCTGCTACACAGACACTCAGGAGTCCTGTCCCCCCCCCAACTGGCCAGTGACCTTTAAAAGGCCCCGAGCCACCCTCTGTCTGTATTCAGCCTTTTAGACACATGCTGGAGTTCAGCGCTGGATGTCTGCAGCCAGGATCTTTAGACGGTCACCGACCAAGCTTCTTAGTGGGTGATGAGAATGGCTTTGCCTTCCTCACCTCAAATGTCGAAAAGACCGGAGTTATTTGTTCCTGCATGTTACTGTCTGTTTTCACCAAACTACAGCTGTATCTCTTTTAAATCGATGCCTGCTTTGTGTTTATCTTCTCCCAGACAAGGCCATCTATCCATGGTGGTGCAGCTCATGAAATACGGCGCAGACCCGTCCTTGATTGATGGCGAAGGCTGCAGCTGCGTTCATCTGGCCGCTCAGTTCGGCCACACCTCCATCGTGGCCTATCTTATCGCAAAAGGACAGGTAGGTAAAACCAACACTGCCGCTTATTTGGCAGGAAAATAACATAATTTTAAAATGCATAAGCTGGTCCTTTTCACAACAGCGAACGTGCTTGTTTGACAGGTCCAGTGTCATTACTATTGTCCATCATTATCTTTTTAAATGGTAATTGCTAAAATAGGAACTTAACAACCGCCATTGCTTTATAATCTCATTTTCCTGTCTGTGTTATTTGGGTTTTATAGCATTTTGTACCGGTTCTTTCCATCAGGGGGAGCCCTGTTACTTCTCTTTTCCACCTCTAACTTCTCCTTCAACTCCTTCACTTCTGGTATATTTTACTCTTATCAGGATGTGGACATGATGGATCAGAACGGCATGACTCCTCTGATGTGGGCGGCTTACAGGACACACAGGTGTGTGTGTGTGTGTGTGTGTGTTTAGAATTTGTGTAGCTGTGCCCCACAGTTGCTGCTACAGCTTTACGATGATTTACTGTTCTGGCTCGGTCTTCCTCGACAAGAATTCTTAATGACGTGGTGAAACTTAATGTTTAATACATTTCAACCTCAAATCAAGAAACCGATGCCTGGAAAATGTCTAAAATACTGATGCTTGCACTATGTATAATTGCACTAAAATCTGCCTTTCACACACACAACTGCTTCATGTATAAATCAGTTGTCATTCATCAGACAGACTGCTAACACAGGGAAACTAGTCCCAATACTGTGGCTCAGCTTTATCTGAATATTCTCTGATAAGCAATTTTTCTGGGGGATCATTTCTGCTTTAAATTTTGTAATTTAAAATAGTTAAAATGTGTTGCTGTTTCATGCAAAAATGCATGAAAGTATCTGATTCCACCTTCTCAAATGTGAGCATTTGATGAGTTATTGTCATACATGACCGACTGTTGTTCAAATACAACAAGACATTTGAAGATGTCGCCGTGAGCTGTTAGAAATTATTGCAAATCAGATAATATAATAAATATTCGGGTCAGTTGCAGCCCTAATCACCATTTACCTCCTATGTCACAGAAAGTGTAATTTAAACAAATGATCCAGAACTTTCATGTTAAGCAACTTCATGTTGTCTTTGTCCTCCTGTCGACACGCCTGTTTGTCAGGTTTGACTCGGCTTGTCTTGATTTTGTCCTCTTTGTGACAGTGTGGATCCCACTCGGCTGCTACTGACCTTCAACGTGTCTGTCAACCTGGGCGACAAATACCACAAGAACACAGCGCTGCACTGGGCCGTGCTAGCTGGCAACACCACTGTCATCAGCCTGCTGCTGGACGCCAACGCTAACGTGGATGCACAGAACATCAAGGTAATGCCTTCCTCGTGGCTTGATCCACTGTCATCCACCTGTATTGCCGTATTATTTGATAACAGTAAAATGTATTTAGACAAATTAGACTGTCACTAAGAAGGGTGGAAAAAGTAGCCAGAGTATTTTGAGTATTTTGTGATGCTGAATGTGTACAGACTGGTGTGTTGTTGTTTTTTTAGGGTGAAACGCCGCTAGATCTTGCCAAGCAAAGGAAGAACGTTTGGATGATCAATCATTTACAGGAAGCGCGGCAGGCCAAAGGCTACGACAGCCCATCCTACCTGAAGAGACTGAAGATGGACAAGGTACACATACACACACACACACACCTTCAAACACATGCTCCAAATATATTTTGATGTATAACATTATACATCAAAAGAGAAGGGCAGGCGGTCAAAGATTAGAAAAAACATCAAGCAGTGTGAGCTTTGGGCTACTGCTCAAATTTGAAACAGACAGAAAATTTTAAATCCGTTTAGTTGGATCAAATTTAACCATCTATCCTTTGCTGGAAATACACACACACACACACACACACACACACACACACACACACACACAAGCCTCGTCGCTCCCTGTTTGACTACCCATTTCTGTGAAAGTTCAGACAGACATGCTCAGACCAGACTGTCCAGGCTGAACGTTTCCACTGCTGCAGTATCACACCATGTCTGGGGTTGTGATTACCTTTCAGTCTGAAGCTGCCCGTTTGTCACCAGTTTACTATTTTGCTAATCCCCGATCCGACAACCAGACAGGAAGGAGACAACTCTACTTAAATGACAGGTTACGTTCAACAATACAACTACCGGAAACTGCAGGAACAATGTAACTTGTATAGCATCTGCTCTGACCACAGCGGGTCTCCTGATAAATAAGATCTTCTACTCAAACTTTGAACTTGAGCACAATTGTTTTCAAAGTCAAAGAAATGAGGAGGGGACCATCAGAAATTGACTTGGTTACCTGCCGGTGTGTGCGATACAGCAAACTAACGGATCTGTGGTTGGTCATTTCATCTGTCTGTTTGTTTCTATACATGTATGAACTTGTTATTGTTGTTGCTTCTTAAAACTCTGTTCTAACTCTGCTTAAATGTGTCGTTGTCCTTTCACGTGTCTGCTGGGAAATGATAAGTTAATTAAGGTAAATTTTAGAACTAGACAGTAACTTTGATTACAAATAGACAACTAAAATTGATGCCCCTTCTGTGCGTAGAGATTGACTGTGTCACTGTGTTTATACATATCACAAGTAGATTGAAGACTTGTTTGCAGCACACTGTGGTCTCAACTTTAGATCCCTAGTGTCAGTGCTGTAGTGAGTAGAGCTTCACAGGCCAATTGTGGAATTCATCTAACTTGCTTGGATTGCTGCTTAGCTTCCTCTTTATGTCTTCACTGTCTAGAGAGCCAAGTGTGTTTTTAAAAACAAAAAGGCTACTAAAGATGTAATGCTATTTTCACATAGCAAGGATTTTGGTCACTTGACTCTTTAGACCCAAACATTATAACTTCCTCAAAAATAAATAAATCTATACCATGTCTGCTGTTTATTGTGCAGTATATATTGGAATTAATAACATAATATTGATATATATTCAAAACAAACTGGTGTCTGTCACTAGGGTTGGATACCGAAACCCTGTGCCAATATGGAAACGATTTCTATATGACCGCTATCTACAAGAGACAATTTACAACGCAAATTTCAGTGCCACTTAAATGTATCAATTGAAATATTTTCCCTCTGGTGCTCCAAAACGGACGTAAGAAGTGTCTCCGCCATTCACCACAGTAACGTTACCAAATGGAGCGTCCCTAAATGAAAGGCTCCAAGACAACTGCCGCTTTTGCTCGGCCTTTATTAATGCTACAACAATACAGGCTTCCACCAGCCGCAGCCTATAAAGGAAGAAACAAACCTGGCTCAACAGCGAGCTACACGTGTGAACTTTTCTCGTTTGTCACCCTCTCTGTCTCGCGGCTAACACACACCCTCCCCAAAGCTAGCAGGAACAAAAAGAACCGCCCCCCTTAACCATCTGCCAATCATAAAAAGGAAAATAAATGATTGACAGGCTTCTACACATCAGACATTCACTGATCTCCTGGAAACAATGGAGAACAGAGTGACTACAATAAACAGCCCTTTCTGCCTTTCACGAATACAACAGTCATTAACAGTGTACCAACTCAAAATTGATTTTGCTGTTAGTGATGTAACTGTTATTTAGTGTTAAATTACTGCAGAAGTGTTAGGTGGTTTAGGTTTTATATATTGTGAATTTGTCATGTTTAATTCATTGTGTTTTGTATTTACTTATGTTGATATTTAAGCATACTTTAAACAGCTAATATATTGTTCAATTTAAAGAATTTTAGATATAGCAAATTGATAAAAAAAAAAAAAAAGTATTTAAAAAGTATCAGTTCAGGCACCATTTAGGCACCAGAACTGTTTTAAAAGTCTCAATTTGGCACCGGAAACATAAAAAATCCAAACGATACCCAACCCTGTCAGTCACCGTAGCTTCAAAAAGAGACTATTGGAAATGCGTACTGTATCTTAGATATTTAAAGTCATGATTCATGAGGGAGTTGTGGCTCAGGAGGTAGATGAGGGGCTCAAGAGATGTGTGATGAGCTGTTGGCACCTTGCATGGCAGCCGCAGCCATCAGTGCATGACTGGCTGAATGTGACATGTAGCGTAAAGTGCTTTGAGTGGTCAGTAGACTAGAAAGGCGCTATGTAATTGCAGTCCATTTACCGTTACCCTGACTGACATCTATTCTACCTCACATTTTCACTTTTACAAAACCCTCTATAACTACAAAATGCTTTGTGTCTGGTTCTCTTGTCTAACTTTCACCTGTCTCTTATTAATCGTTCTTTCCATCTCTACGTTATCATCTCTGAAACCCATCAATGTTTTTTTTTCTCCCAATCTCTTTCTTTTCTTTCCTTCTTTTTCACCACTTCTATTACACATCTTCTCTCTCCTTCTACATGTCCTACCTTCCTGTTATTTATTTATTTTCTTCCATCACCCCGTATTTGCCACCTGTATCCATCTGTCTCCTTCCTCTCCTCCCCCTGCAGGAGTTCAGGCAGAAGGTGATGCTGGGAACACCCTTCCTGGTCATCTGGCTAGTTGGTTTCATCGCTAACTTAGACATTGACTCCTGGCTGATCAAGGGCCTCATGTACGCCGGCGTCTGGGTCGCTGTGCAGTTCCTCTCCAAGTATGTCTCAGTCACATAAATAACACCTACACACACACATGTAAAGCCTGTACTGTGTGACCTATGTGTTCTGTACGCAAATATTCTAGCAGTCTTTTTCCTGCCATTTAGTATCTAAATACTTAATTATGTTAATTTAATCACAGGGTAGTTTAGTCAGATTTTGCTTTAATTGCTATTTATTGCCTCGAGTTAAAGTTACAGTATTCTCAATTATGGCATGTTTTAGTCAACTTTGGATTCAGCATTTACATGTTGTGAGATGATGTTTCAAAATCAAATCTGTATTACTTCTTTATTAAGTCAGATTTAGATCTCCTGGCGCACGCATGCAAATATACTATTACACATGCACTTGACACACCATTAAATACACGCAGTCTCTATCTATAGCACCAACACATAAACTGTACATGCACATATTCTTGCACGCAAACACACACGTAATCAAACACAAGTCAAAGCCAGTGTGCTTTATCTTTACTGAGATTCTTGGAATACTTGGTGAAAAAACAATTGTGAATAAAAGTGCTGGTAAGTCCAACTGCAGTGTGTCATCTGGTCGTGGTTTGGTTTATTTTCGCTGCTGTCTGACTGCAGGATTCAGATCAAAGACTCGTATTTGTCGACATCTGCTACAGTGAGCAGGTTTCACATCTGCTGGGAGCACCTTGACCCTTATTGAAGCAGAGTCTGCAGTGGGAGTTATGCCCATAGATGACATAAAAGAAAATTCTGGCCTAGTATAATTTTTACCAAAACCATAAAAATAAGTAAATTGTAATAAACTGGAATTATCCTTTAACACTAACAGTTATTATAATTGTGTAAAAGGAGTCAGTTTGAAGCAGACATCCTAGTACCGTGCGCACTATTTGACTGACAACAAGTGCAGAGCAGAAATGAGAAAAAGTCATGGAAAAATAACAGATGACCATTTTAAGAAATACTGCTGATAACTCCAACCCTCCTCTCCTCTCTCTGTGCAGGGCTTTCTTTGATCACTCTATGCACAGTGCTCTCCCTCTGGGAATCTACCTGGCCACCAAGTTCTGGATGTACACCACCTGGTTCTACTGGTTCTGGAACGATATCCTTTTCTGTCTTAGACTGCATGGCATTTGAATTTTTCTTAGAGGAACAGTTTAACATTTTGGGAAGTAAACTTTTTTTCTTGCCAAGAGTTACACGAACAGATGGATGGCACTCTCTCGTCATGACGCTGCAGTCAGCCGCCAATTAGCTCAGCTTAGCATAAAGACAGGGCCAGGCTACCGGTTTTATGTTTTCAGAAAGGGTTAAAACAGCAAAGTTGTTCTTCTGTCCACCCGCTTTAGTCTTACTCACCCACAATCCACTTGTATGTGAAGCATTCCAGAGCGTCGAAAACTAGCACACACAGTCTCTTTACGGGAAAAAGGACATCCATCTGACGCCTCGTAATTGGGTCACATGCTGGTTGAAATGGGCTTTGTATTCTTGTTTTTTAGCAGTCACACAAGTCATGTAACACAAAACCAAAGCTTTTATAATTCTGCCACGGCACTTTGTAAATTTGGCAAACATGAACTCCAAGCAGGGAGGATCTCTGTAAAATATGGACTTGTAAAATCAATTTTTACTGCTTTCTGCTGCCTGCAATGCATTTTGGAAGATGATGACAGAACGTTAGCAGGAAAAGTACTTGTGTTGCAAGGCTGGAGCATGAGTAAGATTAGGTTACAGGCCCGTTTCAGTGAATTGAAGGAGTGGGAAAAGAGAAGGGTTAATGTGGAGAGCAGAAGGAATTGGTGGAAATTATATTAAACAAATGCAGGCATGAAGTGCCACAAGCCCTTGGGTCTCATTGTGATGGATATCGAAGTAAAACATGTAGAATAAGTTACATGTCTAAAGGAACAAGCTGCTTAGTTTTTGTCATGGAAATAGTATGTTGCTGGTGAGGGGTTAAGCAAATAATTAAGTAACAACAAGCCGTTGTCTTTGAAGAATTTATTAATAAAAGAGAATAAACAGAGAAGTACTAAAACACATGGTCCAGAAACCTGCTGCCTAGGGCGGCTTCGGGCGTCTGGCCCCGAGCAAAGGGATGCATAATCATTTACACAGTCTAGGTTTCTATGTTTTGGGGAACAGAGATCCTCTCTCAGCCTTGAATGAACATTCAAGGAGAGGAGAGGAACAACAAGAGGGGGAAACACTAAACAATCTCACAGCTCTGACCTAAACCCTAGTAAATATGGACAGACTAACATAAGGAGTATAGAAGAGGAAAGGTTAAGGATAAAAACACAATACATTTGTATCTATAAGCCATAACAAAATTAGTAATAATAATAGTAAAAGAACACGCATAAAAGATTAGATGTAAGAGGACACAATTTTCAGCCATAACAGTTTTTGGTGTTTGCTGCTATAACAGCCGCTGGTTAAAACCCAATAAAGCTACTCCAAAGAGTTTCTGTTGGCCTTAGTGCGGTTGCTCTTTCTTCTTTTTTTTGTTCATGGAAGAATTGCCTTTCTGTTTGGAAAATCTGCTAATTGCAGGAGGTGAGAGGGGAGTTCTCATTTGTGGAAGGCATTTAATTTAATGCCTGACTGCGCCACTAATGGGAAGGGAGAGTACAGATGCCTTTGACCTGAGCTTATTGAAAAAGAAAACTATGCTCGAAGGTCTCTTCAGTTAGTTTAAAATGCTGCTGGAGATGTGTTTGGAGCATGTCTTGAATGCATCATGTGTCTACTCTACTGAAAATAGTTGGAAGGGGTCTACCACAGGGGCATACCTTGTGGAGAGTTTAGCTTTTCTCCTGCAGCGTCACAGACATGGGCTATCTGTTGTAAACTAAATTCAGTGTCTCACTGGAGTGGACAGTTCTTGTCCAGTTGACTGCTTACATACAAAGTAGCACTTTCTCTAATCGCATTTATTTATGCAAAGCAAGTCCTTTGCAAATCAGGAGCGCTGTGGGGCGGGATGACTTGGTGCTTGTTTTAACTCAAAGTTAATAATAAATTCAAAGCTGGAACATATGAGTGAGAGTGTTCACACAGCTACCCACCAGCCACATTGCCCGATAATCTGGGTTGTGTTACGCTTTCAGAGCTTCCACTCCACTGGAGAGACAAAAAAAATGGCAGCCGTCTAAAACATTGCCCATTTTGTACGAGCCGGCAGTTTTATTGAACATTTATTGAACTAGGATTTGAAGATGAGTATATAACTATTTTATTTGTATCATGGACTAAAAGATTCCAACGTCTGGTTTAAAACATCCTGATTATGTGGTCAAATGGGAAGGTTTGACTTTCCATAGAATTACTCATAATGAGCAAGAATGTAATACAGTGGAGAGAGAGCGACATGGGGGATTAATGTTTTGATTTTGATGTTCCACATTTGTCATTAGGCAGTGTAGTAATGCAGCCCTGTATTTTGCAAACGTTCGTTCTGCCTTCCGAGTAAAAACATTTTATCCACATTTGACCCACTTTCTGCCGTTGTGAGCTCATTATCCTCCTCAGGCCCGCGGTTGATATCAGATCAAATGACAAGGGTGGAGCTGTAAGACGACAGTACTTTTTTATTTTCGTCTTTCCCAGACTCGAATCATAGTTTCCTCAGTAGATTTTGGTCATAAATGCATTTCCAGCAGGTGAATGTCTGACTGTAATATAATAATAATGATGATGTTGGAATGAAATAAGAGTAAGGGCAAAACCTGAAGCTTCCGAAGAGCACTGTGTCCATTTCAAGATATATTTGTTTTCATAACGTGGATTACTATCAGTAAAAACAACCATAAAGAATTCACCTTGAGTTTTGTACTGAGCTGATATAGCATTTATTTCACTTGTGTGTCTGCACGCCATTGCAGCCTTCAAACAGCACACTGATAAATCTGTCTCTGACCATATTGCTCGGCCTCTGCTGTCAAGCTGCTAGGGAAACCTTGTCAAATGCACCTCACTGCTCAGCCTTTCAAAAGATAAATGGGCGCTAACGGGCGGCCCTGACCCAGCCCTCCCTTAGGAGGCATTGAACCCATTTGTCTAAATGAGCTGAATTGATCACTGGCACCATCTCTGCATCTCCACTGATCGCTGAGATTGTAGACCAATGAGGCGCTCCGGAGAATGTTTTACTTGTCAGGCCTTTTCAGCAGGGGATAATGTCAACACCCAGTTCTTTATGGAGATGCATATGAAAATCAGTGGCTCTGTGTGGTCTTCAGGGACTTGTAGAGGCCTCTACCACTCCGTCGGTGCTAGGAAAGTGCTTATCAGTGAAGTCTTAACCGTGCTGGAGGAATGGCCACAAAAGCTGTTGGCTCTTCCTCGCCAACAAACCAAAGGTGCGGTTGTGTTTCCCCCATAGCTACTAGCAACTGACTTCCCAGCAGACCTCTAGGGCTGCAAACCCTTTAGAGGATATTATCGTCGTCTGTTATGGTGGAATTGGTGTGACATTTCATGGCTGGTGTCCACATCACATGTGTTTTGAAAATACAGATCCCAGAGTTCAGCTTGAATTAAAGCACGTACAATAAACTGAAATACCATGCTTTGTTTTGCCAAGTGCCTACAATTCAGTAGAAATTAATCTGTGCAGCTACTCCAGACTGGATGATTTAAAGGATTATCCAGTTTGGTTGGACATAATAAGGTAAATAGTTGCCTCACGTTTCTTCCTTCGCCTTACAGATTTAAAACCTCTCCCGGCTCTATCTTCTTACCCAACTCTCAGCAAGAAAGCAAATAAGCATATTCCCTAAGCACTTCTGCTAATGAAACCACTTCTTTTTTTTTTTTTTTAAATAGAAGCAATGAATTGTAGGAGAAACCCTACTTTAATAAACACTCAGCAAAGGAGCACCAACCTGTTTAATAACAGATGAAATAAATCAAACCGGGTGAATAAAAATTCAATATTTAATTTGATCAGTTTCTTTAGAAGAATTTGAATTCTTTCAAGAGATTGACATCGTCTTCTGCTTTAAAAAGAAAACACACAGACAACTTCTTACTGAGTAATTGAGTTTGTTTTTTAGTTAAATACCTAGTAAATGGTTAGATGAAGGATCAGTCAATGGCAGTGTAGTTACGTGGTACACAAGAGGTTAATTATTGTCATTCATAAATTGCTCATATCAGGTCAGACTTGGATTAAACATCAAGACAACATGTGTTGAGAAAGTTTAATTGGATTTTTTTATTGGTCAGATAGCTGATTATCTTAATTCAGACCTGGCTCAAAAGAAATAGTTAGTTCCTTTAAGGATATCTGTCTGTGCACATCTGGTGAACCTTATTTTAGACCACATGATGAGTGAGAGGGAAGTGTGTGTGTGCTTGTGCAGTCTCTTCTCTTTGCTAAAACAATCAGCAAGGAGTTATGTGGTTCTTCACTTCTTGCTGTGAGTTCATTATCTTGACCTGCGTCTTCTCCGGGGCGAGGAGTTCTTGACTTGTCTAGCAAGTCTCCATGTTGATCTTTACTATCACAGAAAGGAGATGTTAGTTTGCAGACCTGAAGAGTCTCAACAGCAGTTGTACTTTGGTTAAAATAAAGAGGATTTGATTGTGGTAAAAACCCAGTCCACCGACTCTTCCTTAACCCTGCTGCACATCTCCCCTTTGCCACCGTCCACGTGCCCTTCCTGATAAACACCCTGGCTCTTTTCTACAACTTTGGCAAATCCTGGAAGTCTGACCCAGGAATTATCAAGGCATCAGAGGAGCAGAAGAAAAAGGTGAAGTTGCAGGAAAGAAACAAGCAGCAAGCACATGGTTTAAAGAAAATGTTGAAGCCCTTAAATCCTGATGATGTTATCTTGTATTTCAACTGCTGTTTTTCCTTCTGAATGGTTTGACTTTTGTTGCATAATGTTGGTATAATGAATACTGGCATTCTGATCATGTGCTTTTTTTCTTGGTAACTTTCCCCCCATATTTTATTCCAACACCACGTGTAATTCCAGTTCCCAGCAGAAAGATGCTTAGTATTCACTGGAGAGATCACGGCTGCTTGGTGGCTGATTCCCTGGCCTGCTGCCCACAGTCATCTGCCCTCTGTCCTCTCTGCCCTCATTATCACACTCAAATGGAGGACAACAGAGGCCCTGCTTCTCACCAGGCTCATGATTGATGAGGAGCTAAATTTACCCTGCATTGTTAGCACAGCGCAGTACTGGCCAGCACTGTACTAAGCTCGTCAGCTTCAAAGCTTTCCTTCCCTTGCAGAGGATCCCATTCCACCTCTTGTTTTCCTCTGAGGGTGTTGTAGATTAGGATTTTTGGTCTTTGGTTTATTTGCACAATGATAAGCTGTAAAAGTGATAAAAACACAGGAGAGGAGGGGGAAATCCTTTCTCCGCACATTAGATAAAAACAAACCTCTTACGACAACTAGTTTGCCTTTAAAAACAGAAAACAAACTAATGGCTGAATCAAATTGTAAATCCCATTGTAGCTCACTGTGAATCAGCAGAGCATCCCGCGTGATAGTTCAGCTGGAAATCCCAGCCCAGCTTGTACACTGTCATTTGGTCTTTTGTTGCAGTGCCAAATGGACCTTGACGAGATGAATTTCTCAGTTGTTTGTTTTTCTGCCATGTCTCTTTTTTTAAATCCTGCTTTTGTTTCTTGTTTCCTTCCTCCAGACAATTGTGGAGCTGGCAGAGACAGGCAGCCTGGATCTGAGCATATTCTGCAGTACCTGCTTGGTAAATTCAGACTACTCTCTTACATGAGATGTACGATCCATACAGAGGATAAAAGCAATCATAAGACAACTTTTCCCTGCTTGTATGACTGCTTTCTTTACAGATACGGAAGCCCATCAGGTCCAAACACTGTGCCGTGTGCAACCGCTGCATTGCCAAGTTTGACCACCACTGTCCCTGGGTGGGGAACTGTGTCGGTATGTCATCAGCACAGCAGATTTATGAGGACGTCAACAACACATACACTCCCAAACTACCGGCTACACGGAATTTTCATCTGCTTACTGAGAGCTGTGGCTTTTTTATTGTGTTTTATCAGTTCCATTTTCCACTTTAAGAAGCCACATGTGTCTGCTCTCAATTTTTTCTGGTTCTGGTGCACAGCAGAAAAACATGTCGAGGGAAATGTTTCACGTCTGAGTAAGCTGGGGTACCTTTTGTGAAACAAATTGTCCACAGATTTTGTAGAAAAAAGGTTATGGTTAGTGCATTCAAGATAATTGTATTAATTTTATTTAATGTTAGCCAACTGGCTTTCTCCCCTTACTCTTTCCAGACAGAGCACATCATTAAGTGTAGACCTGTTTTGGATCGTTAATGAATGTGTCCGGTGATAAAACATTCAATTGACTAAACTACACTGAAAAATGTAATGATCTACAACAAAGAAAGTAGTGGGTAATTATTTGGTTTGTTATAAATTAAAACTATTATAAAATAAAAGGGCTTAAACAAAACATCTCTAAGCAAAAAGAAAGAAAGGGGGGAAATGAAATTGTGAGAGAAGCCAGTGTGCGCGCCCGTCTGTGTGTGTCCAGGATTGTTTCAGACGGCGTCTGAGGAGCAGACTGGAGACAGTGGGGGAAGGAAGGAGTGCAGAGGGCTTATTGCACTTCCATTTGGAAACCAGGTGGTCAGGAAGAAGCTTTAAAAGTGTGGAAACAGTCTGAACAAACAACAAGCCCTGCCTCATGGCTAGAAGTTTAAAATATCATAAACACAACAGGTTATGATGCAGGTATGGGGTTTCTTTGCGCTGCATGTCATCTTTTCGAGGGTAAATATACAGCAGTGCTCGCACAGTATGCGTCCTGTCTGTTTACATTCAGGCGGTCCTCGGCAAACCCAAACGCGCTGAATGCGCTTACTTCCTCACAGAACATTTACAAAGCCACAGTGTTTTAAATCCAGCACTGTTTTTGACCACGTTTACAAGCTAGTGGTCACCTTGTTCCCTGTCTTTGCTGGCGCATTGCAGCTCATCTTGGTGTGTTACTGTCACCTGTTGATCAGTGGACTTGGTGGTAGGAGTGTATGTCGTGTGTATCGGGGTTTGTATGTGCATGTGCATCCTCATGCACAAGATGAACAAGGGGAAGCCCCGTAGAAACCACTCCACAGCACTACTAGAGGTTTAAAAATCCACAGGGAACCATTAAGTTCCTAAACAAAACATTTCTCAAAGACCCTGGATATACTTGCTTTTTAACAATGCATAGGCGTAGACAGGCGTGTGCGACGCAAACGGCATTGTTCTCATACTTGCCTGCATACTTTATGTGTACCTGGAGGATTAAACCTGAATAGGGGGGAGACCAGGACCGGGTCATCCCTCGCCAACACCGCATTATCTTTCCTCCGACAACCTCTGAATTTGCACATCGCAAACAAACCAAACATAGTGACACTCCAGCAGGTTGTGATTTTAATGAGACATCATAACGATCTCAGTAATTGCAGACTAGCTCCAGGAGTTTCATTGTAAACATCCCGCCATAAATCTCCTTTTTAGAAGTCTGCTGCTGACCTTGGCAAACCAACAGCATACCGCCACCACCTGGGCTGGTGTGTGGAACAGGAGATTGCTGATGACCTGCCGGTCAGATCGACATACTGTCCCACGTTCATGTGTGGAACTGCATCTCGCGGAAGCGTAGCGTTAATTCCTGGGGACGTGCACAACCTACGCTCCAAAGGAACGCAGGGTACGCGTTGCAGCCATCTTGTGTACACGAACGCGTAGTTAAAAGCAAGTATATTCAGGGCTTTAAATGTCTTTTAGACTTGCATGACACACAGCCACCTAGTCATGTCAGCAGGTATCCTCTCTTATCTCTGCTGTTAAGCTCCTTAATTTGCACATGTTAGCAAGAATTTGTATAATATCACATAATATCTGTTGCACTTCCTGTTAGACATGCTAGCAGCGTGACTTCATGGACAGCAGTGTCTGTCTGTTCATCCATCTGTTCACAATTTTGGTCCAGGCTGAAAGCAAAGTTATGAATTGTGACGTCGTTGTTGGTCCCCTGACTTTTCCTCTCGCACCACCGTCAGGTCCAAGGTCAAAGTTTTCATGTGTCCAATACTAAAGTTATATATATATATATAATACCTGCAAAACTTGTGACATCACAACTTTGTGTTTATTGCTAATGAGCAAGTGTCAGCAAGCTAACATGGTGAAGATGTGACAAGATGTGTTTGTTTCTCCTCTACAGGAAGTGGGAATCACCGCTACTTCATGGGCTACCTGTTCTTCCTGCTCTGCATGATCTGCTGGATGATATACGGCTGCATTTCCTGTGAGTAGAAGAACCCTTTAAATTTCTTTCCCTCGTTTTCACACTTGACTCGCTCTGTTTGTCTGCCAGCTCCTTGACTTCTCTCTTGTTTCCCTCAGACTGGAGGATCCACTGTGCCACCAGTTATGCCAAGGATGGTTTCTGGCTCTATCTGACCCAGATCGCCTCCTGCTCTCCCTGGATGTTCTGGATGTTCCTCAACAGCATCTTCCACTTCATGTGGGTGGCCGTGCTCATCATGTGTCAGCTATACCAGGTCTGGGTTTACATTTGATACACAAAACACATTTAAAACATTAATTAAAACTAGGATTTAAAATTGAGTTTTACACATAGGCATCAATTCTTCTACTCTAAACTGATAACTGCTACAATCTGAATATCAGTAGGTATTTATGTCTGTGATACTGATGTCTTTGCTTGTGTCTCTCTTAGATTGCTGCTTTGGGAATCACCACCAACGAGAGGATGAACGCTCGGAGATACAAGCACTTTAAAGTCACAGCCACATCCATTGAAAGCCCGTTCAAGTAAATGATCTTCTGTTATTTTTTTTTTACTACAGAGGGCAGTCTCTCATTATTTCAGCTCGTTTCAGTAATAACATTAAAGGCTTGGTTCTCCCAAATTAGGACATATCTTCTCTAGGGGTGGGAATCGCAGGGTACCTCACGATATAATACACGTTACATGGCTCACGATAACGATACAGCAATTCAGCTACATGAATCATACTTCATGATGATGTATCATTCATGTAGTGTAGGAATAATCTGTAGGAATAATCCCCCCCCACCCCCCCCTTAAATCTTTATTGCAAAAAGAGGAATAGAGGGTACATGGGACATAAAGAAGTATACAAAACAGTATACAAATATAAAAGAAGACACTAATAATAAAAACTTTGCCAGGGGTAGTCTATTATATTATCTAAAGATATTAAGAGGACCATATGTTGACAGTTTTCACAGCCTTTTTGTTTTTGGATTTAGAAATTAAATTGATATAATGTACAACCTCCATGGAGAAAAAGTCCAAAGCTACGTTTTTACTGCTGAATTTACAATTGTCATTAGAATAAATACATTTATAATAAAGTACTTATTTTCATCCGAGGAGCAAGTGAATGCACAGTGAGCCATTTATTGCAATTCACAACCCCCACCACTAGATGGCACTAAAACTTTAAAGGGGAATTTAAGTCTGTTTCCAGGTGTTGGTGAAACACTACTGCTTAAAGCCTTTTTTAGCTCCAGTGGGAGCATTGTGAAGTCCGCTAAGTGTCAACTTGAGTCAGCATCAGTTGGGGCTGAAGACAACAAGTTTGAAAATGACAAAAAAGGGGTGTGTGGAGAAGAACTTAGCTCTGTGGCTACACGCCTCTGTAGCTCCTCATCTCTGCTTGAGGCTAGCAGCTGGGCGCTACATTAGCTGCTACTAGCATTACACACCTAAATCTTGGACCGTACTGTCAGCATTTGAGTTGCATTGTGGGTAATGTTGGTGCCAGGTTTTGACTTGGAAGTGGAACAAAAGGGAAAATACCTCTGTTTCTGTTGCATAGAAATAATACAAAAAGTAGTTGTTACTCTTCCTGCGCAATCGGAATGGTGGCGTCTGTTTCCTTACACCACTTATGTTCTCTTTCTCTCTCTCTGTCCCTCTCCAGCCATGGCTGCTTCAGAAATCTCATAGATTTCTTCGAGATCCGCTGCTGCGGTCTGATCCGGCCCGTGACGGTGGACTGGACCACACAGTACACAATAGAATACGACCAGACGTCTGGCTCGGGCTACCAGCTGGTGTAGAGGAAGGAGAGGAAGAGAAGAGAAGGGGGGGTGGGCAGTCAAGCGGCGCCGGCTGGAAGGAAGTTTGGAAGGATCACCCTCCCCACCCCCCGGCCTTCATATCGGAGCGATGCTGTTTTCGGGAGCGCTTGCTTTTTTGGACCATCTCTCCCTCACCAATCAAATGACTTTGGAAAAAATATCAGCCAGGACTAGCATGCTGTTACAGGGCAACGCCACACCTACACCCCATCCTCTCCCTCAGCCCCCACCATGTTTATTACTATTACTACTACTACTATTCTACATCAGACTCCATTACTGTACCTCCACTGCTATCAAACCCCTCCACCTCGTCTCTTCTCCTGAGTCCTTTGGACGGTGCACCGCTGCGAGGCACGAGCGGAGAGGAGAGAGGCTGACGGCCGAGAGGAATTACAAAATAAAAGCTCTTCTGTTACCGGAGATGTGACGCTGCAGAGACAGCAGCACCATAAAGTGGCAGTATCGTTCTTTTCCCTTCCCACTTTATATCCTTATTTATGGTGTCCCTGTTGTTGTGCCCTGTGTGTATTTTTTTTGTTTTTGATTGGTTCAGGAACTCTGCTGTTCCTGTGATAACTGTCTGTGGTGGCCAGGGAAGCTGAAGGAAAGTTTCTTGTTCTGTTTATTTTTTTTTAACCTTGAATAGGTTTTAAAGTATGCTAGAGATAAGGGAATGTCTTTTTAAGGTCTTGATTTTGCACCGTGATGAATTTTAAGTTGAGCTGATGAGAGTTGGCAACATAAGTTGGAACTTCTTCTCAGAGGAAAGTGTGGGGTTACAGCCGGAGCCACTGGAGGAGTCCAACTTCTCACCTGCTGAAATAAAGCTGCATCTGAGTGTTGTTGGGGTTTTTTTTGGCAAAGTAATAGCCTATAAAAAAAACAATTTTGGTGCAGTATTGATGCAGGATTAAGTGCATGAATTGGGACTTCTCTAGTGGCGACCACTGTAGGCATGACAGAAATGATCCTACAGACAATGTGATACAGGTATATTTATTTTTAAACTATTTATAGATAAAGTAAGGACGTTCTAGCGCCATCATTTTTACATTTCTCATCATTTTAACAGTAGGGGTTTTTTTTGGAGGAAAAGTGGTTAACCAAGTACCTGTAGCTATTTTGACATGGAAGCCCGGGAACTTTAGCATTAAACTCTATATAGACAGGTACAGTGAGTGTATTTATTAACAGCAGAGTTGAGCATAAAAAGAGAATGCAGAAGGACAGACAAGTTTACAAGAAAGGTCCATTCCGTGTGTGTTTTTCTCAAAAAGCTGTAAAGTCTTACTTGTTTTGTTTGTCGTCTGTCTGCCTACAACATTGCACTGATCGTTTTTTTTTAGTGTTATTTTTTTTCTGTGTGTGTTGTTTTTTTTTTTGGCCGTTACTGAACACAAGGGCCCAGCAGCGCCGCTTCACACCGACGCTTCCATTGTTTACAGAGAGGAGGAGGAGGAGGAGGGGCCCCATCAGACACGGCCAACTCCCATCACTTCCTGTCTGGACCCCCAACCCCACCCCCGCGACAGTCGGCTCAGCCGCCACCGCCGCAGCAGCAGCAGGATGGACTCAAGTGTAAAGAATGTGCATCTGTACATAAACAATATCCTTCTCTGTAACTCTTTTGTTCTTTTCGTCAGTGTTAGTTGAAGGTGCTCCTGGAGACCTTTTTTAGTTTTGTTTTTTGGGGATTTCTTCCAACCAAATGGAAAGAAGAAAGTCAAGTGACTATACTCCAAGTGTATGACTGTAGCTTTTAGTGATGTCCGACACTGCTGTCTATAGGCAAGCCTCCTGAATTTCCCCCAGCCACGAAACTCCACTGCATGTACGATGCTTGGGACAGCTGGGCTCTCGCCGCCCAACCCGTCGACCCCGTCCCGTCCCGCCCCGTCATCGTCATCACCATGGTGACAGCCCGGCAAGCCACGTGTCTGTATATAGTGAATGTTAAGTATTTGCAAGTACTTTTCTTCATTATGTTCATTTGTCTTTTTTTTTTCTTTTTTCTTTATCTTTCTATCAGATCCAGTGTGTTTAGTGGAAGTTTCCTTTCAGGTCGCCAGGCCCTCCTGTGCAAGTGTGTAATATATTTGAATGTTCCATGCTTGTGGACTCTGTAGTCAATAGTCATCCTAAAGGTCTTTTTTAATTTTATTTGTATGTCATATACCGCTGGGTTTGTTATACCACTGGATGTACAAATTGTAAAGCAAAGACACTAGAGAACTAAGGCAGACGCCAACTTTTTTTTTTTGTTTTCTAAAAGCTGAAATGTGATCATGCAATAGTTTTAAGGATAGAGGGAGGTTATATTACATTAAGGCCTCCGAAACTTTTGGGCCTCATGTTTGCATCATCAGAAGGGTACGGTTATGTCGTGATTCCAAGTTTCACACCCCCCCATCTCGCTAACCAACCACTGATGTCACTTCTGCCCTAGAAAGACAACACACAGCAGCTATTTTTGTTGTGCGTCAAAGGTCATGACAAGGCTGTAGATTTCATATCAGTACAGGTAACTAACCACTTATGTTCTTATCTGCCTTTTAAGTACTTGCAGGCTAGTGTTTTTTGTTTTTTAGGGCAGAGTTCAGCACTCCCAGCTCATCCAGGACATGAATTCAAAGCCATTTCAGCCCTCACTAGTTCTTCCAGCAGCCTAAACGGTGTCCTTTCTGTCTCCCCTCTCACCCTCACCACGTGGGATAATAAAAGAATAAAAAAAAGACAAAGCACATAATCATTTCCAGTGCCTCTCTGCCCACCTTCAGACATCACTGTAACTCCGCTTCAGATGTAAACATATGGGCATGGTTCAGTTTTAATGGCTTTAATAATAAAATACAGTCAAATGTGAACACGTGGTCAATGTTTTTATTTGTACCATGAGCATTGATTTCAACATAAAAGCAACTGAGGGAGAAAACACATGAAAAGGGCTGGCTGATGATTCTGTTGGACAGAGGAATGATCCAGTTCACAAATCACTGAGCGTGAACCAGAGCGCCGGCTCCTTGGCCATAACCGAATCCCTTTGGCCCGAAGTTCTTGGCGTAACACGCTGTGGGGGGGGGGATATAGAAGAAACCAATTAACAGGCTGCAGACTCCAAAAGCTGCATCCTTATATTACTGATCAAAACTGCTATTTCAAAACTTGAGTAATTGTTTTAAGGTGATGTCTCTAAGCTCCACACAGCATGATGACATCAGCCAGGCCGGCTCTTTGCTAAAAGAAACTTATCAGAGGTGGAACAAAATTATTTAATGTTGCTGGAACAGGCTGTCCTAAAGAGGAGGAAGGAACCTCAGCAGTGTGTGAATTATGTTAGTTTTCATTTCCATGTCATGCTAAACATGTGGCCCCTCCCTCATGGGATTACCAGACAACACTATAAATCAAGCATCCAAGACATGACAAGACATCTCCCAGTAATACAGGAAACCAAAAGAAAAATCATTATATGCACAGTACATTATATACTATACCGACACTATAAAATTTATGTACAAAATTTAAATACATTTTGCACTAAAAAGCAGAAGAATGAATGCTGTTTGAATGTATCTGGCTAACTAATGATAACTTTGATATGTGAACAACCAATTCGGTCTTTGTGGATCATCCATGTAGAACACAACAAACACACATTTTCTGTATCGTTGAGATGGCACATTGAATTTTTCTTATTCCAGCCTTCCACACACACTGTCCAGTTGAAACAGAGTGGTGAAACACCAGATTTCACCCAGGCACACACTTACTGTTTATCTTCTCATTATCAAGACGTACCTTAATAACTCCCACAGCTAATCCATCCATATTTTCCATCCCAAATCAAAAGCCTTCATGTCAGCATACTGTCTTCCATATCAAGTGGCTAGTTCCATCACTTAGCTACACACATCTTCCATCATCATGACTGTATCACTTTTATTTGGAAGAAGATTTTGCAGTTGAGGGGTAACTCTGACCTCAGGGTGCTACAAACCTATTAGCACTGAGATGAGTTTGAGGTTTGACCGTGTTTTGAGTGACACTGTTTGACTTATCATGGTCAGATAATGGCAGGCAGTAACTGATAACATTAAGGACGGCTCTGCTATATTAAAATGTAGTAAGCCGTGACAGTCAGCCTGCATGCACAAAACCAGTACAGCCTGAAACAGAAGCAGCTAAATGGAATTCAGCCACCATCCATTTACTATTTTCACCTTTGTCTTTCCTGCTCTGACGTGGCAAAATGTCTGCTGTAGTAATGGTTTCATGACGTCCTACTGCACATAATTTAAGAAGATATCTAATCTTTCAGAATAGAAAAATCACGTGGGTGTTTCCTGGGGGGAAACATTTTGAACTAAAGACCAGTTGATTGGGTACGGCTTGTCCAATCTGGGGCAAAAGCCAAAGCTGACACACGTAAATGTGTGTGTTTGCGTGTGTGCATGCAGAGAAAGCACAATACATATTTCACGGTGCTGTTTCCCGGCTCTAACATTCAGAGCTGCTTATCTGCCATCAACATGTGTTGTTTAAAACAAGCTCACTACTCAAGCTGTGGTCAATCAACAAGGTAGTTTAAACAAAATGTTAAAGTGTTTGGAAGTCACTTTAGCTTTCTTTTGCAAAGACAGAGTCAGGCTGTCTCCATTAGAGGACAGTGAGCCGTCTGAGACGAACCTACTGATAGATAGCAGCAGCCAGAGTCTGGCCTGTTCGGGTTTAGAGCTGAGACGCGACATTTCTCCTCATCAGTACAAGGTTTCATTATGACATTCAGCAAACATCCATCTGCTGACATCTGGTTATGTGAGTGATCATGTCTGTTTCTTTGCCTGCCAGTGCGTGTCACTGTGTGCGCGTCTTCTGTTTAACCAAACCATCCCATCTCATCATGCTGTTGAGGAGAGAGAATCCAGTGTGGAGGTCAGACTGCAGATGTTTCTGCCCTCTGAATCTCTAACTGGACGGCGAGCAGCTCTGTTAGCTTGACGAGGCCAGTGTCGTCCAGCCAATGTCAAATAAAAGTCAAGGGGTTGTTGTTAGAGCCAGTACATCCAGTTCTGTTTTTTACTGATACAGTATGATCCCATCAGCTGCCAGCAGTGACTTGGCTACATAACGCTGTGGAACTGTTTAATCTATTCACAACCTGATATTTTTGGACCAATCTCTTGATTGAATTTACACGGGGAAAACATATACAGTTATAATAACATCAACAGTCACAACTGAAAAGATTATATTTGACAAACCGTTCTTTTGCCTTTTAAATGCCAGACCCTCGTAAGACCCTCTCAAGCTTGATGCACTGCAGTATCTCTTGAATCCATCTGTTGTGGGTGGGTGGGGAAGAATGCGTCCATTTAAGGAGTATGAGCCTCCTTGCCAGCAAGGAGGTGAATGCGATAATTCGCTGTGCATCAGGAAATGATGGGGGTCGAGTGAAGTCCAAAACATACTTAATTGTGGAAATGACCAGAACATGTGCATGTAGTGTGGCGGTGACAGTCTATTAGGAAAAATGTTAGCTAGTTTTGCATTAATGAAATGGACCCTATGTAAAATCTTACATTGTAGAAGATTGTGCCTGCCGCATATCAAGGAAGTGTGTACGAGGTCCAGTATGTGTCTCCATTGCTTATCCGACAGTCATCCTGAGGTCCTGGTCCCAGACGGCCCTCAGAGAGTCCAAGCATACTGGATGTATATTAAAAATATAATTATATATAACCGAGGTGAGCCCCCTTCTGTTAGTGTCAAGTGTCAGGGAAAAGTCCATCATGGAGTCTGGGGGGCAGTTGAGGAAATTGATTTTGTACGAAGTGCCGAATTTGAAAAAAGTGGAATAGATGGTTATTTGGCAAGCAGAGTTTTACTGACAGGTCCACAAATGAGGTAAAGATACCGTTAGTGTAAAAATCATTAATGGACTGGGGGCCCTTATGTGACCAAGTCTGAAATACTGGATCCGAACAGGAGGGTGAGAGTAGGTGGTTACGTCTATGAAGATTCTCAGTCATCCAGGTCATAGTTATCCAACGAAGGTTAAAATGAAGGGCAACTGGACTTGGTTGAAGCTACTGGAAGACGTTTCGTCCCTTATCCAAAGGACTTCTTCAGTTCTGACTGACTGGCAGAGAAACTCAGCTATTTAACCTCAGTGGGGTCGTTATCTCGGGTCATCGATACTGCTGGTTCGTTAGTGTTCCTTGTTGCTGTGACGACAGTCGTTACAGTCGTTGAGACTACCTGTGGCCAAGACTGAACGACCATCGTTGGTATCTTCACCTGAGGCCAATAGGTTACGTTTGTTGAGTTTCCTGGGAAGTGATGACGAGTGGTTACGAAAGACAGATGCTAGACCAGATGGGGTATGTAAACCAAACTGTTTCCTGAATGGATTCCAAATTTTTAAAGTGCTGGTCACAATTGGATTGTGCGCAACCGCCTTGACTGAGAGAGGTAACTGGGAGCAAACTACCGAACAAAGTGAAATGCGAGAAGAGCCTGTTTCCATCAAAGCCCACTGAGGTTGTTCACCTGGTACCAATTAAGTGTTCCAGAAAAGAAGTTTGTTGATATTGCAGGCCCAGTAGTACCAGCGAAGATTCGGCAGTGCCAGGCCACCTTCAGACCTGGGGAGTTGAAGGACCGATCTTTCAATATGTGCATGTCTGAAACGGGTTTATCATTTGATCAAGTGTGGAGAAGAAAGATTTATTGATTAATACTGGAATATGTTGAAAAGCAAAACATATAAAAACTGTGGTAGCACCACCATTTTTTATCAGGTTAACATGTCCCATTTGAGAGAAGAATGGAGGACCATCTGGCCGGGCCTGATTTACAGCGTTCTAGTAATGGGCGAAATTTCTAAAAAAAAGCTCTGTGGTCGATTTGGTGATGAGGATCCCCAGCTATCTGAAACCGTCCGAAACCTTAAAGGGGAAGAGGGACTGAGGGAGCCCCTCAGCAGGTGAATTAATGGGGAGGTATTCGCTTTTCTCAAGGTTGAGCTTGTAGCTGGAAAGTATTTTAAACTGATCCAGGATGTTTAAGATAATGGGAAGAGAGGATGCCGGATGCGAAACGTAAAGTAGAAGGTCGTCTGTGTACAGGGAAAGCTTGTGTGACAGACCGAACCGAGTGATACCACTAAATCCCTCCTCCTCACGGAGCCAGATGGCCAAGGGCTCTACAGCGATGGCAAATAGCAATGGGGATAGCGGGCAACCTTGAGGGGTTCCGCGCACAAGAGAGAACATGGTCAGATCTCACTCCATTGGCATTGACCGCTGCGACAGGAGAGGCATAGAGGAGCTTGATCCATGAGATAAAAGTGGAACTAAAACATAATTTTTTAAGTATGTGGAAAAGGTAGGACCACTCCACCCTATCAAAATCGCCTTTTCCGCATCTAAAGAGAGCACTACTTCTGGTGAGTTAGTCGCAGGGGATAAAATAACATTTAACAACCTCTTAGTATTAGAAAACAAATGCCTACCAGGAATAAAGCCACAACCTGATATTTTTAAATGACTAGTTAAACATTTTTATTAGCACATGTCATCAGTGATGTCAGTCACCATTACTAACGTTCAGGCTCAAAAGTCAGCAGCTGTAAATTTGACATGAATGAATCATAAGACACTAAAATGTATGTATATTGAACCGGTGAGCTGATCTAAGTGCTTACTTTGCCATGTCATCAGCTCCTTCCCGTTAGCTGGTATCATTTTGACCAGGTGGAATTCTCACAGTGTGATCATACTGTACCTGCAGTTTGTTCTCTGTAGTCTGAGCCAGACTGGAAAGCTTTAGTGAGGCTTTTTAAAGGTTCTGTTAAAGGTTCTCT